ACCTGACGCGCGACCGAGGGTAGAGGGGTAGCGTGAGACACACCTGACGGGGCAGGACCAGGGGGGGGTGGGGGTACCGGAGGAGCGGGAGCAGGAGGAAGAGAGAGTGCGAAGAAAAGGGGGGGAAGGGGAACCGGGAGACCTCGACAGGGGTACCGGGTGTAGTAGGACACTGACTCGTCGAACCGGACGTCACGGGAGTCTAGGAACTGGTGGAGGGGCGGGTGGTAAAAGGACCAGTCGGCCGAGGCTACCGGGAAACCAAGGAAGACACAGGGGACGGCGCGAGCCGAGAGCTTGTCCGCAGAGGTGTCGCGGACAAGCGCAAGGCAGCCCCGGACACGAAAAGCTGACCCAACACCAGGGGACCCGGTCCAAAGACTGGTCGGTGAAGCCTCTGGCCGCGAGACGCGCGGCTGGAGGTTCAGCTGGTGAGCGGCGTAGCGAACCGCGTAGGGCCACAGAAAATGGGGCGCACGGGCATGAATCATGGACGTGCGGGCGATGTCCATGACCAAGCCAATGCGGCACTCAGCAACCCCATTCTGTTGTGGGGACTCCGGCAGCGTCCAGGACTGTACGATGCCCTGCTCGCCGCAGAATCCGGCAAGAATGCCTGAGCGAAACTCACCCCCACGGTCAGAGTGGAGACAGGAGACACGACGGCCACGAGTGCCCTCAGTGGCTAGAAGCCACCGGATCAGCGTAGAAGTCACCTCGGACTTCTTCGCGAGAGGAAACACCGTGGTGTACCTGGAGAAGTCGTCGACAACCACCAAAAAGTAGCGCTCCCTCTCAGGTCCCTGCGTAGGTGCAGGGCCCCAGACATCCAAGTGGAGTGTCTGGAAGGGAGCAGTGGCCGAACGAAGGGAGGAGGAGTGCGGAGTGGCACGAAGACGGCCGGCGACGCAAGGAGTGCACGGCAGCGCAGGCGAGGGAGGGAGCGACGGGAAGACGCGAGGGAGACCTGAGACAAGACGGTGACTAGCCATAGTGCGGAGGCGGGGGATCGACGCGTGGCCAAGACGGTGGTGCCACAAGACGGTCCGGTGGGTGAAAGACCGACACGAGCAAGACGCAGCAACTAGACCGGACACAGCAACCTGACCAGACACAGCAACCTGACCGGACACAGCAACTGGTGGGGACGCAGTAACCTGACCGAACTCTGCTACCGGGGGGGACGAAGCAACCTGACCAGACGCAGCTACCTGCGGGGGCGGAGTGTGCAGGACGAAGAGACCTGAGTGGGGCTCTCTGGTGAACGTGGCAAGAACTGCCCCGGTGGAAGAGTCCCTACAGATCGCAGTCCTCCCGTGCACAGGAAAAGTGACTGTGATCCCCCGGTCCTGAAGGTATCCAACACCCACCAAGTTCCGAGAGAACGAGGGGATGTAGAGACCAGTGAGGAAACCAGAGGGGACAGCTGGGCACGGGAGGGTGGTCGAGCTGCGAGCAACTGCTGGTCCTGAAGTAGGATCAGCCAGGGCAACTGGGACTGGAGCCGAAAGAGGTGTGACAGTGGTGTGGTCGCGGAAGAAGCACTGAGACACGCCGGAGTCCAGCGTGAAGGAGAGCGACGCAACAGCAGTCGTCACGGCCGGGCTAGTGACTACACAAGCACCTACACTAAAAGCACAAGTACCGACACTAGCAACAGGCAAAGGTCCTAAGCTAGGTACACGTAAGCCAAGAGATCTGTACGTGACAGAATAAACAGCATCCATAGACATATCAAACACAGGGTAACCACTACGAAACAGACCGGGCCAGATCGGGGGAGCCGACTCAGGCCCAAAACGCTCACGGTAAAGGTCGTCGAGGCGGCTGTAGCAGCGCTGTGCAGAGTGGTCAGGACGCTAGCAGGTAGTGCCAGCACCAGGGCCGGTCAGGATCCGGTACTGGCAGGGGCCGACGTCGCGGCCACCGCGACGAGCCCCCCAGCTGGCTGGGCCGCTGCTGCAGCCAACGCGACCTGAACCACCAGGCCCCCACGGCTGCTGAGGGCGCCACAGTTGCTGAGGGCGCCCCTGCTGCTGCGGAAGCCACAGCTGAAACGGCCGCTGCTGCTGTCCCTGCTGCTGGAGAACCCTAGTGGACTCCATGATAAAAGCTAGCGGGGTGCAGGAGCGGCAGGCTAGGAGCGACAGGAGCTAGGGACGGCTGCAGTGAAAAAAAAAAAAAAAAAAAAAAAAAAAAAAAAAAAAAAAAAAAAAAAAAAAAAAAAAACAACAACGAGAACAACTAGGAGCGCCAGGTGAAACTAGGCGAGTAACTGCTGGAGCACGGAGCGAACTAAGCTAGGAGCGCCAGGTGAAACTAGGCGAGGAACGGCTGGAGCACGGAGCAAACTGAGCTACGAGCGAGGAGCGAGAACGGCTGGAGCGAGAACGGCTGGAGCACAACTGGCTGGAGCTAGAAACGGCGAGCTAGGGCTGGCTGGAGGTAGGAACGGCCGGAGCTAGAGACCGTAAGTGCGGCTGTCGGCTGCCGCTAGTAGAGCCACTGGCAGTGGAACGGACGTGCGACAGTAGGGGCTGCAGTACTGACGGCTGCGGGATGCTGGCAACTGTGCAGGTCGTCCGGCAAGCAGGAACGCGGGCGACAGTTGCAGGCCCCCACCCGAAACCCTTTTGTTTGTTTTTTTTTTTTTTTTTTTTTAAGGGTTTAATTTTTATTTATTTATTGTCTGGTGCTAAAGCGCTCCGGGGCGCGCTGCCGGCAGGGTGTGCTGCCTGCGGGGCGCGCTACCCGCGGGGCGCGCCGCCTGCGGGGCGCGCTACTCGCGGGGCGCGCTACCCGCGCGGCGCGCTGCCTGTGGGGCTGGGGCGACGGACCAGGGCGCGGGCTGGGGCGACGGGCTAAGGCGGGCGCCTGGGCGACGGGCTAGGGCAGGCGCCTGGGCGACGGGCTAGGGCGGGCGCCTGGGCGACGGGCTAGGGCGCGGGCCTGGGCGACGGGCTAGGGCGTGGGCCTGGGCGACGGGCTGGGGCGGGCGCCTGGGCGACGGGCTGGGGCGGGCGCCTGGGCGACGGGCTGGTGCGGGCGCCTGGGCGACGGGCTGGGGCGGGCGCCTGGGCGACGGGCTGGGGCGGGCGCCTGGGCGACGGGCTGGGGCGGGCGCCTGGGCGACGGGCTGGGGCGGGCGCCTGGGCGACGGGCTGGTGCGGGCGCCTGGGCGACGGGCTAGGGCGGGCGCCTGGGCGACGGGCTAGGGCGGGCGCCTGGGCGATGGGCTAGGGCGGGCGCCTGGGCGACGGGCTAGGGCGGGCGCCTGGGCGACGGGCTAGGGCGGGCGTCTGGGCGACGGGCTAGGGGCGCAGGCTAGGGGCGCTGAGGGCGCTAACGCGCGGAGGAGGAGGGCGCTAAGGCGCGGAGTTGGCGCGGAGGGCGCGGAGGCTAAGGCGCGGAGGGCGCGGAGGGCGCGGAGGGCGCGGAGGGCGCGGAGAGCGCAAGGGTGCGGAGGGCGCTAGGGCGCGAGCCAGGGCCCACGATATCAGGGTAAAACATCCTGATTACCCTGATTTCAGGATATTATTATGCATTTGCCATGTAATTTCAGGATGGTGTTGATTTTTACCCTGTTACTTCAGGATAATCTCGAATGTTTTGCCTGAAATTTCAGGATGGCCGCGATATTATGCCCTGAAGCGTCAGGATCAAAGCGAGGAACGCCCTGACGCGAATAAAGGAGGGGGGAAGGGGGTGGAGGGGAGAAGGGAGGGCCTGTGTTCGTTTCCCCCAGAATCTGGTCCTGCCTTGGCACGAACGATCTTTTGCCACGTTGAACATTTATTTGTCGCATGAACCTTGAGTTGCGATGTTCTCTCGTTGGCACGCCGCAAGCCTACTCAGGGTCTTGCGATTTTTTTGCCCTGAGATGACAGTATAAGGCCTACAGGTACCCTGAAACTTCAGGATGCCCATATAGTTTTGCCCTGAAAAATCAGGGCATTTTTTAACATTTTCAAGACTTGCCCTGAGGCCTCAGGATGCCCTAAATCCTAGCACAGGCCCTGGCGCGAGCTAGGCTAGGCTAGGCGAGAGGATCGACACCTACTCATTATACCATCTCAAAGTTAGCGAACAACGGAATGCGTGAACTAGGGAAACAAGGGATACAAATAGCAACCCTAAAAGTGTTGTACTCCCTATAGTGCTACTCACTGTAGCCTAAGAACCTATAATAACATTTGACACCTTCCCTGTCCCCCCCCCGAGGGGTAATACACTCTAAAAAATGGGGAAGCTAGGAAAGTAGCTCTGATACCAAGTGTTATGAGTTGTACTAAACAGAGTGCGCGGAAGACTTCTATAAAGAGACTGTGATTACAGCATGACGAAACAATGAAAGAAACGAGCAAATATAGGGCGAAACTAGCTAGGCGAGAACCTCTAGATGTGCGTGGCTCGGAAATGTCACGATTGGTGCGGGGCGACTCGGAATTGGTTCGGTGCGAAAGTGTAGGCCGAACCATCCTGACGCGAAGTGCTCGGGCTGTCCTCGCTAGGAGCAGCCTCTACAGTAATGAATTGCATATTCATTACAATGATGCTGTTTTATTATTATGTCTAAACTCTCATTGTATTCTAGCAAATTACCTCTTCATCTCAATGCTTGCTGCTTTCCACAGCACTATAGATACTTCAATCCAACACAAGCTCTTCTATACACCGGCCGGCTATAACACTCTTAAGTGTAGTATTGCATCCTAATGACATTCAATGCCATACTACTGCCTAGTGCATCATATGTTGGCCCAATCGTCACTCTTGTCAATACCCATCCAACTCCGGGTCAATAGGCTGCATGTACCGTACTTCTCTTCCTCCTACACATCACACACACACCTATCAAGCTTGCCCTTATACTACCCTAAACCCGTATGTCATAGTAATCCCTGCGGTACGTGCTCATAACATGCGGGCTTCTCTCCATACCGTAGATGTCTCTTCCTCCTCCAGCGGCACATACGGGTCAAAGTACGGTAGGTAGCCCATCACCCATCCAACTCCGGGTCATAGTTATCTTTGAGATAAGTGCTCATATCATATGGAATTCTCTCCATGTACTTCTCTTCCTCCTCTAGCAGCGCGTAAGGGTCGATGTAGCTTGGTGGTTGCCGGCCCTCGCCGTAACTCTTGCCCGGATGCACAAAGTCTGATCCCAGAAACTGGACACGCAATAAAGGGGATGGAATGAGCGTATTCTGAGGAGTTTAAGAACCGATGCAGAGAGTCAAGAAAGTGGGCATCCAAATGAAGTGGATGAAAACAGAACGCGGTAATAATGGGGATCGCAGTGACGAGGGCCCTGCTCACCAGGTACAGAGAGGTACAGAGAACAACTTACCAGGTACGTAGCGGTGTAGAGAACAACTTACCAGGTACGTAGCGGTGTAGAGAACAACTTACCAGGTACGTAGCGGTGTAGAGAACAACTTACCAGGTACGTAGCCGTGTAGAGAACAACTTACCAGGTACGTAGCGGTGTAGAGAACAACTTACCAGGTACGTAGCCGTGTAGAGAACAACTTACCAGGTACGTAGCCGTGTAGAGAACAACTTACCAGGTACGTAGCCGTGTAGAGAACAACTTACCAGGTACGTAGCCGTGTAGAGAACAACTTACCAGGTACGTAGCCGTGTAGAGAACAACTTACCAGGTACGTAGCGGTGAAGGCAATGATGATGGCGAGGGCAAAGGGCCAGAGCGGCAGGTAAAAGGAGAGCCCAAGTTTGATCAGCTCCTTTGCTCTTGCTGGTAGGCCCTGAGGGGAAAGGGAAGATGCGAGTGGGAAGAAGGAAGACGATGCTTGGCGCCAGATAGGAAACTTTCAAGTATTTTAGCAGCTCCAGTTTGATTCCCCCAAGATTAAAATCCCATGGCCAAGTTATAATTTACCTGGCTCTAATAATTAACCCGACCTCCCACTCCCTCTCCCACTCCCCCAACACCTCCCACCCCCCACTTTCGTGCCCCCTCCCCTATTTCTGTTGCTCTGGGCCCTCGATACCTCCCGCCCGCCCCCCTCCCTTTCTTACCTCCAGCCCTTCACTGTTGAGAGCGTTCGAAACCGCCCGCTGGTCGCGCATTCCCGCCCCCCCTTCCCCTCCCCCTCCCGCGGCACTTCCCCCCGCCCCTGCGCCGGGAGCCTTGCTGGCAGCGTCTGATTGGCTGTTGGAGGACTGGGCCTCGCGCCGGCGCCGCAACTCGCGCATGAATTGCGACTCCGTGGAGGGATTGCCCGAGCTGTTGTCTGCGGATACGGTCCACAATGGGTTAGAATGGGTTGAAATTGTGTTGGATCGGGTTGAAATGGGTTGTTTTGCGGTGAACGCCTAGAACATGACGCCACAATTCGCGCGTGAATTGCAGTTTGCTGAGGAAATAGCCAGGAATGGAGGATCGTAGGGGAAGGGGTTGGAAGCATGTTGCGTGAACACGACGACCCAACTCGCGCATAGATTGCGGCTCAAAGGAAAAATCTCCAGGAGAGAGGTCTTTGGGGGGAAATAGCAGGATGGGCACAAGAACGGTAGGGCTCCAAGGCAGTGGCACGTACCGTCTGGTTTGTCCGCCATGGCTCGTATCCGCAATCCCCCAGCGCGCCTCGCTCGCACACCGGAGACGGAGGCGACGCGGCTTTGCGCTTCAAAGCGCGCAGGAAGCCGTTGTGGGGAAGGAATGGGGAGCGAGTGGGAAATTGAGGCGAAGGTGCGCACGGGCGTCATGGCTGCTTGGAGCCCGGGGTGGCACGATTGCGCAGCGGGCGTGGCTGCGCGCGCTGCTAACATGGCGGTGCTGGCGGAGAGATGCTGGCGGAGAGATGCTGGCGGAGAGATGCTGGCGGAGAGATGCTGGCGCAGAAATACTGACAAATGTCTTACTGCGGAAAACGGTAAACTACCGGGTTTCGTGCTTGATTATCCGTGTGCTGCTTCGGCTGAAGGGAATGTCGCTCGGATTACTCTGGCAAAAGTTGTCGCTGCGACGAATGTCGCTCTTGCGTGATTGACCAGGCAAATGGGATGGGACCCGCGTTGCGATCGCGGACTAGCGCGGTGGCAGGCTGCAAGCTGCGGTGAGTAAGATTCGGCGAAGCTTTATGCTGAAATAGGCGGCGACTTTGGGAAACTAGGAGGAGGAGGAGGATGACGAGGATGACGTTGCTTTCGGGGATGACGAGGAGTGAAGGTACAGCATTTGAGGGTGACAGATGGATGGACGACTCGAATGCGTGGGGGAAGGTGCGGAATGTGAAATCGCGGCCAGCTGTCCGCTTGGGATAAGCTGGAGGAAAGGTAAGTGAAGTGAACGTGGTCGGCATTGGAAGCCTCGAACAATTGACAAATTTGCCGAGGCCACGTCAGGTCTATGTGCACCTTAGGATCTCCAGAAGCATTCACCTACGCCAATCAGAGAAACATACAGGTCATGACGAGGTGGAGCTGACAACATCGTATACGCGTTAAAGAAATAGTATAGCCGACAGCAAGTACACCGTTTCTCACTTGAAGCGAGCATCCCACTCTGAGTAGAAAAGCTCTTTATTGGCAAATGTTTTTACCATTACTTCCCCACGTACTTCATACCTATCCGACACAAATACGACCCCTGGATTACAAATATTGATACCGCTGTTCCTACAAAACAGTCTGTCCGGATAAGGAATTAGTGTTCAAAGAACAGGGGAGCAGCCGCTAGAGCAGCTGTAGCGAGCAGGTTGAGGAGGATGTGAAGTGTGGGTGCTAGCGTCTCACGCAGAGTGCCACCAACCCTGAAATGAATATGAAACACCGTCGTACGGTATATCGAAGGACAAAACAAAAGAAGACAATGAAGCCAAATTAAGCATATAGCACTCTCATGCACATGAAAAAAGGCGGTAAATCTCAAACATGTTTGCCCATGAAAATGCTTACGTGTCGCCAGTGATGGTGGCTTTGTGTGCTTCACTTCCCGGCCCTCCCAGCTGGCCTGCTTCCACCACGTCTCTGGCGCCCCTCCACGCACTGCTAGCCCCGTTGAAGAGTGCTGCCAGCAGCAAAGTCACCAGCACCGCCACCAGCAGCAGTGCTGCCACCGCTCGCGCTCCCAAGAGGGGCTGGAGGGTGGCCTTGCCTACTGACCGCACTATGATGCCTGTGAGGTGGTGGGGGGGGGAGAGGAAGGGAGAAAGGAGAGAGAGTCACAGAAGGTCAAGAGGCAGGGAGCGAGCGGCAGCGTCACCAGCAGCACCACCAGCACCGCCACCACCAGCGGCGCCGCCACCGCCCTTGCTCCCAAGAGGGGCTGCTGGGTGGCTTTTCCCACTGACCGCACTATGATGCCTGTGAGTGACGGTTTGGGGGAAGGGAGAGGAGAGAGGGAGAGAGAGAGAGGTAGCAAAGGTGATGAGGCAGGAGCGAGCAACAGGATTACCAGCGCCTCATCCCACCTCCCTCCCAGCTGGCCTGCTTCCACCACGTCTCTGGCGCCCCTCCACGCACTGCCAGCCCCGTTGAAGAGTGCAGCTAGCAGCAGCGTCACCAGCACCGCCACCAGCAGCAGCGCTGCTACGGCTCGTGCCCCCAGGAGGGGTTGGAGGGTGGCCTTGCCGACCGACCGCACTATGATGCCTGTGAGGAGAGGGGGTTGTGGGGGAGGAGAGAGAAGGGAGATGCAGCTACGATGGAAATTGGGGTGTGTTTGAGGAGGGGAAACTGGAGCTAGGAGAAGGGTCTGCATGTACAAAGATGCGACGAGGCAATACGGAAAAAAGTGTGGTGCTATTTTACCGTGCTACCTGTGTTGAGCTACATCATCAAACTCACCCATGGCGATTGGAGCAGCGACAGCAAGCAGGCCTGGCAGCAGCAGCTCCTTTAGGCTAACAGCTGCCACTGCACCCACGAAGCGAGATGGATCATCCAGCACCATGGGCGCCCTCGGGTATGCCTGCTGGGAGAATGGGTTGGTGGGAAAGGGAGATACATACGAGGATTCAATATGTGAGTGGACTATTGAGGCTCACAGCACAGCCGCCACTGCACCCACGAAGCGAGATCGATCATCCAGCACCATGGACGCCCGTGGGTATGCCTGCTGGGAGAATGGGTTGGGGAGGACGGGGAGGGTACAGGGTTTGGATTGAATACGTGAGCCGACTCTCGAGGCTCGAAGCTGCCACTGCACCCCTCCCTCACAACAATGGCCGTGCACCAAATCACTCCACATGCTTATCTGAAGGAGCCTGCTATGTTATGTTTACATTGCTTGTGAAAGATCTCAACGCAATCTCTCTCACAACAACGAACGACAACACCACCACCCGAGGCACCTCATAAGCTATGTTCGAGGCACCTCCAAGATAGACTTTCTAATCCTTAGCTCACCTTCTCCTCGGCTCGGTGGTGCAGGTGTCTCCGCCCCTCCCGCACAACAATGGCCGTGCACCGCGTCACCCCACATATTCTTTGAGCGCCTGCTATTCTCTCTCCCATCCTACCTTCTCCTCGGCTCGGTGGTGCAGGTGTCTGCGTCCCTCCCTCACAACGATGGCCGTGCACCGCGTCACCCCAGATGCAGCCATCGCCACACCTCCCACCACCACTGCCGCCCCCACCATGCACGCCACCAGCAGCTCTGGCTGCAGCAAGTCAATCTGGTATTGGGAGCGGGAGTGAGGGAGGAGAGTGGCATGAGTATCTTTGGGAAATAAAAGAGTGTAACTCCACCTCCTGCCATTGCCACGCCTCCCACCACCACTGCTGCTCCCACCATGCATGCCACTAGCAGCTCTGGCTGCAGCAAGTCAATCTGGTGGTGAAAGAGGAGTGCGGGAGGGGGAGAGGAGCAGCATTATCATTAATTGGACAGAAAACGAATTTAACTCCACATGTCGCCATCGCCACGCCACCCGCCACCACTGCCACCCCCACCATGCATGCCACCAGCAGCTCTGGCCGCAGCAGGTCAATCTGGTATTGGGAGCGCGGGAGTGTGGGAGTGTGGGAGAGAGCAGCAATACTATTAATAGGACACCAGAAGAGAGTCACTCCACATACTGCCGTTGCTGCCGCCCTAGAGCACAACACCACTGCCGCCCCCACCATGTATGCCACCAGCAGCTCTGGCCGCAGCAGGTCAATCTGGTTGTAGGATCGCAGCAGAGTGACGGGAGTGGCACGAGTATTGTTAAAAAAGGAGTAACTCCGCCTGCCATCGCCACGCCTCCCACCACCACTGCTGCCCCCACCATGCACGCTACCAGCAGCTCCGGCCGCAGCAGGTCAATCTGGTTGTAGGATCGCAGCAGAGGGACGGGAGTGGCATGAGCATCGAAAAGAAAGAAATACAGAATACACCACCACTGTCCCTCCGCCATGCACGCGGCTTGTAAAATGCTGCCAAGCATCAAAGATCAGCGGAGGCTGGAATAAGAGAAGGTGAGTGTCACAATGGCATGGATGAGTTTTCGGGCACCTCAGCAATCAACTCACATCGTGCAGCGCTGTGCTGGAGTAGGAGGAGACGAGCGCCACAAAGGCATGGATGAGCAGCAAGGAGCAGAGCGAGGAGGCACCACACCCCATGCCCCGAGTGGCTGACGCTACAGCTGATGCTGCTGCTGACTGGCGTTCACACCACTGCCGCTGTTTCAAGTTGTCTCAAATCAGATGTACCTTTCCCTGCTATTTTGAGACGTCTCAAAACAAACTCACATTGTGCAGTGCTGTGCTGGAGTAGGAGGAGACGAGAGCCACAAAGGCATGCACGAGCAGGAGAGAGCAGAGCGAGGAGGCACCACACCCCATGCCGCGTGTAGCCGACGCCACAGCTGATGCTGCTGCCTCCAAAGGACTGACTGGCGTCCGTAACACTGCTGCTGCTGCCGCTGCCGCTGCTGCTGCTGGTGATGCTGCTGCTGATGACGTGGGAGCGTGGGGTGGAAGCGCGGAGGATTGTAGTGAGGACGACTGTAACGAGGATGAGGAGTCTTCTGCTGCCATCTCTCCTGTCCCTACCCCTCCCGTTGCTGCTGCTGCTGCTGCTGCTGCTGCTGCTGCTGCTGCTGCTACAGCGTCTGAGGACACTTGCTGTTGCAGCATATGTGGTGATCCTGCTGCTCCCATGTGCTCTGAAGCCATGCCGCCTCCGTCCTGCATGCCCATGCCATATGCGTCCATGCCATGTGCTGCCATGCCATGTGCGTCCTGCATCACATCATGTGCTGCCGGGCCGAGACTGAATTCCTGCATCTGCTGCATCTGGCCCTGCTGCTGCTGCTTCTGATGCTGCACATAGGAGCCATGAAGGGGAATGAGGAGGGAGGTGAAGGGAGGGGACTTAGAGCGAAGGGAGTAGAGTTTTCAACTAGTGGTGGAGCAAATCGAATCTCGAGGGAAGAGGGGTTCTTTGAATTGAAACAAGGCAAGTAAGTCACAATGGATGGAACGAACGAGGTCTTGAGCAGTAAGCCCCAAGGTCCATGCCATACATAATCGTGTTTCTAGTCGACACTCAAAACGTGAGCAGTAAGCCCCAAGGTCCAGTAGATCCGCCCCTCTTGTTCATCTGAGGTCCATGCTATAGATAATCTTGTTCTCAGATGTCCATGTGTGCGCTAGTCGTCTAAAAAATCCATGTGTGCAGTAAGCTCCAAGTTCCAGTAACTCCTCCCCTTTGCACAGCATTTCACTGAGCATCCACATCCCCATCCCCATCCCCATCCCCATCCCCATCCCCATCCCCATCACAGCCATCCCCATCACCATCACAGCCAGCCCCAGCAGAGCAGAAAACATACCAGCTACCTCCTTTTTTCCCATCCATCATCCTCTTTTCACCTTCAAAGTCCCACCTACCTATGCCATCATTTTACACAGCAGGACGGCGTGCGAAACAGCCAGCTGGAACAGATCAGTGGTGAGGGAGAAGCACCCGCTGCTAAGCATCCCCATCACCGCCACAGCCAACCCCAGCACAACAGAAAACACACCAGCTACTCCCCCTTTTACTATCCACTAATCCCCATAGACTAGACATTGAGTGACCCACCCACCTGTGCCATCATTTTACACAGTAACCCAGCATGTGACACAGCGAGCTGAAACAGATCCGTGGTGAGGGAGAAGCACCCGCTGCTGAGCATGCCCATCACCGCCACAGCCAGCCCCAGCAACCCCCCTGCCGGCTCCCCCTTCCCATCCACCAACCCCGAATTCCGCCCCAGCCACACCGCCGCCGCCACGGCCAATCCCACGATGACAGCTGGCGGCGCGGCGGCGGCAATCCCGAGGGCGAGTCCGGAGGAGATGTTGGAGGCGTGGCCGGAGGAGGAGGCGATTGCGAGGGAGCGGACAGGGGGGAGGTGGGGGGCGGAGAGGAGGGAGGAGGAGAGGAGGAGGAGGATGGAGCAGAGCATGCCGAGGAGGGCGCAGAAGAAGAAATGGAGCCAGGCGAGAGGGGCTTGCTCTGTGAATAGCAACCACCTGGTCGCCTGGCGGGGGCATTAGGGAGGGAGGGTGGGTGGGTAAGGAGGAAACGGGTATAGGAAGAGGGAAATGCGTGAGGGGAATGCATGGGAGTGCGGCGGGGAGAGAGGAGCTTGTTCCATGAATAGCAGCCAACTGGTCACATGGGGGGTTGGTTTGTGAATGGACGCAAGGGTTGGGGAATGGATGCGCAAGGGAACACCTATATAGAACCCATTCGTTCCGGAAACAACAAGACCAACTTACCAGGGCAAAGGAGGAGACAGCAAGCACAAGGGAGAGCGCTTAGCCGTTGAATATACTCCCCACCACCTCCTCTGCTGCTGTAGGCAGCACTGATCCCCGCATCATACCCGAGACACACATGTAAAACCCCTCCGTTCAGGATACCACGAGACCCACTTACCAGGGCGAAGGAGGAGACAGCGAGCACAAGAGAGAGCGCGTAGCCATTGAATATACACCCCACAACCTCCTCTGCTGCTGTGGGCAGCACTGATCCCCGCAGCATGGGCGAGCGGGGAGAGGAGCGGAAGAGAGGGGAGTGCGAGGAGAAGGGAGAGGAGGAGGAGGAGTAGGAGGAAGAGGAGGAGTCGACGGGGAGGGAGTGAGGGAGGCGGGAGGAGCCAGCTGCGGCAGAGACGGAGAGAATGGCAGCGGCTGATGTGAGGAGGTCTAGAGAGAGGACCACGAGGGGCAGGAGGATGAACCCTGTTGGGTCTGGAGTGCGATAGGGGAGGGGAGGGAGGGGCGGGGAGGAAGAGTAAATCAGACGCGGAATTGAAAGAGGAGGCGTCAGTGCAACCTAATGAGGGGGACGAGGACGAAAGGTCTGGAGTGGGAGAGAGCGGAGCGGGGAGGGAAATTGGAGGAGAGAAAAGAAAGAAAAGAACAGCAGGCACGGAAGGGAAGCAAAGCTACTGTCAATGGCGCAGTGCTGTGCCACGATTGCCCCCAGCACCATCTTTGAGACGTGCCAAAAGAATCTGTTCTTTGAGAATTCTCAAAAAACAGATGTGCCAAAAGAGAATCAGGCAAAGAAAGGAAGCAGACCACAGTCAGTTGTTTGAGACGTATTCAAAGCAAACCTACTGTCAATGGCGCAGTGCTGTGCCACATGCGCCCCCAGCACCATCGATGCCACCGCTTCTGCTGCTGCTAGACAAAACGCCTCACATGCCCTCGCTGCCCCCCTCGCCATGCCCACGCCCACCTGCATGGGGAGGAGGAGGATAAGAGGGTAGGGCATAGAGGGAAAACCAGTGCTGTGCCACATGCGCCCCCAGCACCATCGACGCCACCGCTTCTGCTGCTGCCAGGCAAAACGCCTCACATACCCTCACTGCCCCCCTCGCCATGCCCACGCCCACCTGCATGGGGAGGAGGAGGATAAGAGGGTAGGGCATAGAGGGAAAACCAGTGCTGTGCCACATGCGCCCCCAGCACCATCGACGCCACCGCTTCTGCTGCTGCCAGGCAAAACGCCTCACATACCCTCGCTGCCCCCCTCGCCATGCCCACGCCCACCTGCATGGGGAGGAGGAGGATAAGAGGGTATAGAGGGAAAACCAGTGCTGTGCCACATGCGCCCCCAGCACCATCGACGCCACCGCTTCTGCTGCTGCCAGGCAAAACGCCTCACATGCCCTCGCTGCCCCCCTCGCCATGCCCACGCCCACCTGCCCTCCACGGACGCACGGAGAATGATATGAGGGTGGGGGTGAGAGGGCGGAAGAGAGGAGAGATGTAGGCAAATTGATGCAGGGGGAAATAGAGAGGGAAGTGAGGAGGAGCGAACTCTAACAACCCCTCACACAACGTCTTCACCACGCCATCATGCCACCATGCCAATTGCCATATAACGACCAGAATCTCTGAAACACGGCCTCAGAACAGAACTTCGAGAAACAAACCCTTAGAAACGGGCCCTAAGAAAACAAAACCTCGAAAACAGACCCACCATGTCAGCAACAGCAACGACATTGGCGCCCCCTCCTGCTGCCTCTGACGCGCTTCTGTCCATCCTCGATATAAGCTTGTGGCCCAGTGCTAGAGAGCGGGAGAAAATGGACGGCGGGAGGTGGTAGAAGAGAGACACCACTGCCGCCCCAAAGCAGAAGCAGACAAGCAATGCCGGCACTGCAGTGGGAGGGGTGAGTAGGGGGAGGATGGAGGAAGGTGAGGTACGGAGGAGAGGATAAGGGGAAGAATCAAGATGAGCCAAGAGAGAAAAAATTGGGCGCATTTAAGAGGAGCATGTGTGGTGTGGAAAAAAAATATATATATATATATATACACATAAATAAATAAATAAACTGAAGTTGCGTATTATTTTCGGCTTTTTGCTGCTTGCTTGCTTACAATCAGTGGGTTTAAGCCCTGCTGAAGCCATAGCAGACCCCGCAGTAGCAGCAGAGGCTGCAGAGGCGGAGAGGCCCCTCCGTTTTTGGGCGGCAAGGGAGGCGGGGAGTGGGGCGAGGTGCATGTGGAAGAAGGCGAGGAGGGCGCTGTAGTTGATGCCCAACCCCACCACCGGCACTGCTGCCACCACCAGCGCTGCTGCTCCCGCTGCTCGGATTGCAACCTGGGGATGGGAAGAGGTTGGGAACAATATACATGTGCAAGAAAGGAAGAAGGCGAGCAGGGCGCTGTAGTTGATGCCCAACCCCACCACCGACACTGCTGCCACCACCAGCGCTGCTGCTCCCGCTGCCCGTATTGCCACCTGTGGGTGGGGAGCGGTTGAGAACGATACGTATAGGAGGAGTTGACAGAACCATATGCATGGGGTATTGTGCAAGAAAGGAAGAAGAAGCCGAGGAGGGCACTGTAGTTGATGCCCAGCCCCACCACCGGCACCGCCGCTACGACCAGCGCTGCTGCTCCTGCTGCACGTATCGCCACCTGTGATGGCAGGGATTGTGCAAGGAAGAAAGGATTGTGACGGCCCATTCGCCCTTAATCCCTTTGCACAATCCCCCATGCATGTTTTCTTGTCAAGACATGGACAAAAAAGGCATCATTTTTTTCACCTGAAGGGCCTCTTGAGGGGATCGCCTGGCAGCAACAGCAATCCTGGCAGCAGCAGGCACGGACAGCCACACAGCAGCGTGCGCAGCAAGACCCATGCAGAAGCCGCCCAGGAGGAAGGAGAGCAGCGAGACGAAGGCGAGCAGCGAGCGGTGCACGCCGGTGGCCTCTTGCTGAGGCGAGAGCTGGTGGGAGAGGTGGATGAGGGCCACTAGCATGGTGGCCACTAGCACTGCCTTGGCTGCCGCTGCTGTCACTGCTGCTCGCAGCGTGGATGCCCCCCGCTGCACCGCTGCTGTTACCTGGTGGGTGAAGGGAGGAGTGCGAGAGGAGTGAGGAGGATTGAAGAGGAAATGGGAGTAGAGAACGAAGGGAGGGAGGAGAGAGGGAGCAGTGCACGTCCATGACCTCCTGCTGAGGCGAGACGTCTTAGATAAAAAATAATATTAACAAGGAATAAAAAAAGGCAACATTGTGAAGCCGGGTAAGAGCAAAAAGGAGGGGGAGTGAGGGTGGCAAGGAGAAAGGCAAGCAGGTGGATAGGGAGTGACGAGTTCTAGAGCTGCTCTCCCACTCCCACCCCCAAACCCACTTCCACATCCACCCCCAAACCCACTCCCAACCCCACTCCCACACCGACCAAAACCCCCATCCCTACCCCCCCAACTGACCTGTCTGAGAGTGTTCCCGCCATCATCTCTGGACCGCACCCAGGAGGCGAGCAGGGAGGCAAAGAGCATGGCAGCAGCGGCGAGGAGGAAGACGGGGATGAGCACCGGGGAGGTGAGCGAGGCGAGTAGGAACGCCAGCAGGAAGGGCGCTGCTACCAGCAGCCTCGCCACCTTTATTCCACGAAACAGATCAGGACTCTGGGGAAGGGGGTGGGGAGGGGACGGGGAAAAGGTGAGAGAAGGTCAGGGTTCTTGGGGGACTGGGGAGGAAGAGTGTGGGGAGGGCGGGAGGGGAAGGGCAAGGGGGAAAAAAACAGCTAGCCGAACAGCATGAGTGAAGCGGAGCGAGCTAAGGAGCTAGGCGGATCTTACGGGCAATCGAGAACGAAAACAATGGGCACTCAGAAAAGGAAAAACTTCTTGTAAAATGGATCAGAATTCCAAACAATAAAAAGTAAGGGCAGGGAGAGCACTGACGAGGTCGGGCACCACCACCACATGCTGCGCTAGACTGTCCTCGAACGGCGTCCGCGCCATGGGCTGACTCGTTTATAGGCGCCGATAGAGCAGGCCTGGGGTGAGCTACCGTCAAGTGCGGACCAATCAGCGGCTGCTCTGAAGGGGTTTGCGGTGCTGGGAGAAGGTGGGGTTGGGGGAGGAAGGGAAGGGGATGGGAGAGGAGGAAAACGGGGAGATGGAGAAGGGGTAACAAGGCGGTAAGGAGGAGGGGAAGGCTTGGGGAGGTTGCAGTCATAATCCACCAGGTCAGCAGTCAGGTTATGAGGCCATGGCAGATGCTAACGTTTGCGAGAGTAACGGCTCTTGGATAGGAGCTGGAGAGGAGAAGTGTAGGGTTGACTCAGCGAGACCTGGTGTGTTTTGAGTCGACTCAAAACGTAACTGCTCTTAGTTAAGAGCTGGAGAGAAGAGGTGTAGGGTTGACTCAACGAGACTGGACGTACGAGTTGCAACCTGATGGCCTACATCCGCATTGTTAGTTTCGTTCACGGATAAGGCAAGGACGTTCACGCCTAGCAGCCGCATTCTCGCAATCGCATTCTCGTATTCGCAATCGCATTCTCGTATTCGCAATCGCATTCTCGTATTCGCAATCCATTCTCGTAATCGGATTCGAATATTCTCGCAGTCGAATATTCGCACTAAGCCAATCCCGCACTCCGGCTGGGGAGTCAATGTCACCATTGTCGATCTCACCTGCAAATACGGAGGTGAGCGGCACGGTAAGCTTCAGATGTATCTAATCTGGAATCGCAGCATTCGGATTCGACACTGCGCAGCCATGGTAGGTGAAGCGCTCTGTTGAAGCCCCTGTGAGTGGGTGCCAGTCTCATTCAAGTCTCGATTTTGTTTAGCTGCTCGGGAAGTGAAGTGAAGCCCCTTATAGCCGTTAGCGACAAAATCGAGGTAGCGTTCGGTAGAGGATAATTCACTAAACGAACGGCTTGAGTATTTGAAAGCGTTTCGACTTTAGGAAAACCAGCATGCTACGGTACATGAAAGTTTTAACAATGATTGCTATTTCAACATGAAGTTTACAAACAAGCAATCCCTGTCATTTCCTTAGCAAACAATACACCACAAGCATCTCCAGAAAGCATCTCCTGATTGTTGCCTTCCCAGATTAATCAGAAGAAGAAGCCCTGAAACCACATGAAACTTGAGCACTTGCGGTTTTCCTGCCCTTGCAACCCAGGTAAATACTTTTCCTTGTCACCAGCAGTCTGCCTCACACGGCCAAACCCACTGTACCACCACAGTGATGCGAAATAGTAAAATTCTTTACCCTTTGTCCAGTACTAGGCATCAACACCTCTTCCCGCCCCACCCTTCCTTTCTGAAAGCCATTCATACCTCACAGTTCCACATAGATTCATCTGCATTGTCCACCTAACTCCACACTCCAGTTCTCTTCCACATACCTCTCAACTTTCTCAACTTACCTCGTCCTCTTGCTGTCCAAAGCCCCTTGCACCCTGCAGTGAATGCACACAGAAGAACCTGCTACTGCATGCACTGTACACTTACGTGAGAGGCCAACCGCACCCAAGCCCCTGAATGCCCACCTGCGCCCTCCACTCTCATGCCTCTCTTCCCTCTCCTCCCTCTCCTCTCCCTCTCTCCCCTCTCCTCCCTCTCCTGTCCCTCTCCTCCCTCTCCTCTCCCTCTCCCCTCTCCTCCCTCTCCTGTCCCTCTCCTCCCTCTCCTCCCTCTCCTGTCCCTCTCTCCCCTCTCCTCCCTATCTTGCCTCTCTGTTCCCTCCTTCCCCTGTCACTGTTTCTCCTTCCTCCTCCACCATTCCCCAGTCACCGCGGGTTCTTCACTTTGGCACCGCAGTGTCGGCAGCAGAACCGGGTGTGACGCACATACATGTGGAAATGGTCCAGGCTGCCACACGCGTGATGGGAAAACCCCTCCCGAGCCGGCGCCTGCTTGTCCCTAAACCCCACGCCGTGCCGCCCGCAGAATCCAATCGCCTTCACCTCGGGCAGCTGCAGCAGGCCGGGCGGCAGATAGTCCAAACCGCAGCCGTCCACCACGAGAATGTGCAGACGGGGGAGTGCGCCGCCCAGCACCCTGCCTGTGCTTCTAGTAGTAGCAGTAGTGGTAGTGGCAGCAGCAGTGGCAGCAGCAGTGGCAGCAGCAGTGGCAGTGGTGGTGGTGGCAGTGGCGGGGAGAGAGGAAATGGGGTTGCTGGGATTCACATTGAAGGCAGCAGGGTTGCTGGTAGGTCTGGTTTCTGTGAATGGATTCGTGCTCAACTCTGCAGGAGCATTGCTGCTGGGAGCATTGCTGCTGGGAACACTGCTGAGGTGAGTGGCTAAACTGCTGCTACTTGGATTGCTACTGAAATTGCTGACAGCACTGCTCCTGCCTTCATCCTTCGCTCCTCCTCCACCTGCGGCTGTGCTACTGCCACCTGCTGCTGAGCTAGCGGCAGCACCACCAGTCCCGAACCTGCTTCCACCCAGGCCAAAGGCAGCGCCAAGCGAAAAGAAACTGCTGATGGGGTAAGCGCTGCTAGTAGCTGCTGCAATAGGAGCCCTTGCTGGTGGTGGCGGTGGTGGTGGTGGTGGCGGCGGCGGTGGTGGTGCAGTGGTAGGTGCTGCTGCTGATGTGACTGCTGCTGCCGATGTGGCTGCTGCTGACGTGGCTGTAGGAGGAGTGACTGCTGGCGGGACAACAGCAGGCAGGGGACTCCCAGCAGCAAGCGAATCAGATGCACGCGGTGGTGGGGGGAGGACTGACGACGGCAACAGGTTGCAAGCAGGTGAAGGGTTGGACGAAGCTGAAGGGTTGAAGGAGAGAGGGGATGGTCCAGGGGCGGAATTGAGGCGCAGGGAGGAGTAGAGGCCGTGGGGGAAGGAGTTTTCAAAGTAGGCGAGCAGAGGCGGACTGCCGGACAGCCAGCCCTCGAGATAGTGCAGGTGGGAGAGACGCGAGAGCACCCTCTCATAGTGGTGCAGATGCCGTGCCGGCCGGAACGATGCTGCTGATGATGGTGATGAAGATGATGGGATGTGTGGGGATCGGAATGTCGACGTCCCAGTTGCTGTGGATGTGGTAGGGAATGGGAAGTGCACTGGAGAGTCATCGTCCCACGTCTCCTCTTCGTCCTCCGATCCATTACCCTCCTCCTCATCCCCATCATCACCCTCACTCTCCTCTTCTTCCTCGTCGCTCACGTAACTCTCATCATCCTCCTCATCTGAAGAATCCCCCTCAAATTCATCATCGTCATCATCCACCGCTGCTTTCCCCACCCTCCTCCTCCCCATCCCACTCCCCTCCCCTCTCCCCGCTCCCTCCATCCCTCCTCCTCTCACTCTCCTCCACCCCGCGCCAGCCCACCTCCGCCTCTTCCTCCCCCCCTCCCTCTCCCCCTCCGCTCCCTCCAGCCCAAACCCAAGGTCGTCTAAAGCAGGGCAATCCGCTACAATCAGCTCCGTTAGGGTTTCCCACTGCTTCAGGGCGTTGGGGGGGAGGGAAGCCAATCGCCAACAGTCATGGATCACCAGGCACTGTAGCCCGGGCAGGTTCGCCATCGAAACGGGCAGCTCCTCCAGGCGCGGGCAGAGCGACAGGCCAAAAACTTTCAGCGCGGGCAGCTGCCCGAGAGAGTCGGGCAGGCGTTCGAGAGACGGGAGCTTGAGCAGGAGCAGCGTGTCAAGGGCAGGAAGCTGCCCGAGGTCTTCGGGCAGGGAATTGAGCGAAGCACAGTCGGAAATCTCCAGGAAACGGAGAGCGGAAAGGGTGGAGGAGAGGTGTGGTGGGTTGGTGAGAGGGAGGGGTGGGCCATGGAAAGAATAAGGCCCTGGAGCAGCAGCAGCAGCAGCAGCAGCAGCAGCAGCAGCAGCATAAGAAGGTGACCTGGTTGTGTTGCTGAGTGTATTGGTGGTGGGGAATGCGGGTGCGGGCGCATTAAGGCCAAACAGCATGCTGACAGCCGATGCATGAGCAGCATCAGAATGAGCATCAGCAGCAGCAGCAGCAGAAGTCGAAGCATCTTCAAGAGACAATTCATCCAGTGACCTGTGCCGCTCACGCCGCTCCAACAGACCAAATCCAACCAAGCCTACAGCCCTCAACCCGCCAGCGTTCCCACCGCCAACACCCAATGCAGAGGACGCAACGCGGAAGGGCGGCAGGGTCGTCAAATGCCGGGCGCCATTCATGCACAGCCGCTCCAGCCCCGACAGATGCGCCCAGGACTCAGGCACCTCCCGCAACGCATCGCATCCCTCCACCTCCAACACCCGCAGCCCCCCCAGGTGCCCTATCGACTCTGGTAACCCTACCAGACTCGGCAGCTGCTTTAACTCCATACTCTCGAGCCTCACCAGACACCCTATGTCTTCAGGGAGAGAGGCCAGCCTCTCGCATCGGACAACTTCTAGGGTTACCAGTGCGGTGAGCTGCGCTGTGCCGGCCGGCAGCAGCTGTAGCGCGCTACAGTCGCTCAGGCGGAGGCGGGAGAGGCGGGAAAGCTCGGCGAGCGAATCCGGGAGGGCGGTCAGCGCGGCGCACTGCGACAGATGAAGTTCCTCGAGATTGGATAGCCCGCCTAGGGAATCCGGGAGGCATGTGAGGCGCTCCGATTCCAGTTTGAGCACTCGGAGGGTTCCCACGCGGCCTAGGGTTTCGGGAAGCATCAAGAGGTCGAACGCGTTGATCTCGAGGTGCTCCAGCGCGGGCAGATCGCCGATGGACGGCGGGAGATGGTGGAAGCAACGGCTGGAGATGCGGATGGTGCGGAGGGAGGAGAGGAGGGAGAGGTTGCAGTGAGTGGAGGTGAAGCGAGAGAGGGTGCTTACAGATGGTTGACCTAGGTGCTCGCTTTGACCGAGTTCTAGGGCTTCGAGTTGTGTTAGGAGGTTGACGGTGGGCGGGAGGGCGGAGACGCGGCGGTAGGAGAGGAGACGGATGACCTGGAGCCGCGGGCAGCCGCGAAATAAATTGGACAGACCGGCTTCGCTGAAGCGCGTGCGTTGCTGGTAGCCTACGTGGAGGAGATTAAGATTGGGACACGTCACACCTAATCCGCAGAGGAGCAGGTCATCCGCGTCATAGACGGTTCGGTCGGCGACTATAAGGTGGGTAAGAAGCGGGAATCGCGCGAGCGACTTAAGGAGCTTCTGCGTGGAAATTTCGTGTGTCACGTGGACGTAGGTGCGGCCTAGGCAGGATAGCTGGTACCAGCGCTTGCAAACTAAGGCGTGGTCGAAGGAGCGGCGCGTGACGTAGTGTAGAACGCGAGCTAAGACATCGTCAGGTAGGTCTTTAAGAGGGAACGGCTGAGTGCAGGCGAAAAGCCGCAGCGAGGTGGAAGGGAAAAAAGAGCTCCACATGTTGGATTGGACGTGCCTCCTAATTAGGGTTTGAATAGGCAGCCTACAAAGGGAGAAGTCAGGAGAAGTGATTGTGCTAATGCTTGGAACATAAGTCAGGAGCTTAAACTGGACGCAACTAACGATCCGCACGGCAAGAAACCGATGCTTCGACGAAAAGCACGTGCCATAGTGAGGAGGTAAGGTGCGAGCTTCGCGCAAACCAAGCTGCACTTGTGGGTAGTGGGTCTCTACTATTTGGAAATTCCGCCTCGAGGCATACAGGCTAGAGGGTGAGGGAAGCGGTGTGACTGTAGTGCCCTAGACTCCGTAACTGGTTTGGTCGGTTCAACCATAGATAGAGTGACCTAAACGAATTCACGAATGTTCAGCGTCACCTGCGAAACTACTAGAGCATTCGGTAGCAACGTTTTCGTCTACAGACGTGAGAGAAGTGAATGGGGCAGTTTGCAAGGTCGTATCGCGTGGGGCCTGGTCCTCGGGGTCAACCGTGGACGACCTGACCGAAACCAGAAAAACAGTGCCGTTCATCGTCACCGTCACAACGTTTTGTTGAAGAGTAATCCGACGGCTTTCATTTTGTGGGTGATTCATGAATCGTGGAAAAAGGACGTCCTTGGCAGGAAAACACGCGGAAACGTCAAATGCCGTGTGGCTTGGGGCAAGCTGGCTTGGCGTGTGGTGTGCCTTGCAATTGCAATTGTCCTTAGCGCGCCATCGATCTTGATGCGGTGCAGAATGATTCGCTAGCCTTATAGCGTGGTAGACCTCGCTGTTATTTGCTACGTGTTATCTCATAGACAGGACAACTAATAAGAACTTATGCAACCATCCTGCATTCTGGCTTTCTTTTTTCACTACACAGGTGTGATATCTTTCAATCTTCATCCACCATGTCATTAACTTGCTCTAGGAAGTTGCGCACTTGTGCTGCTGAAAGGAGCATCACTAGGCGAAGGTGTTGAAAGCCCTTCAGCTGTCAAAGCAACCATGAAATGGGTAGGGGAGGGGAGGGGGCGGGGGGGGGGGGGTGGGGGGGGGGGGGGGGGGGGGGGGAGGGGTGGGGGAGGGTTAGAATTACGGTAGCGAGAGCGAGCCGATGGGGGGGAACGAAAAAGGGAAAGGGGGAGGAGAAGAGGGATTGGAGGGAGAAAGGGGGTTGAGGAGGAAATGTAAGGGGAACATAGAGGGGGGCATACGACTCTCTACACATCACAACTGACGTGCACCTGTACCAGAAACATGACTACCAGAACGAGCAACTGAGGACAGCCGGAGCATGATAAAAGCTGACAAGAAGATAGTGAACACCAGTTGTTTGGGTGGTTCGATGTTCAGTAAAACCTTTCTAACAAGGTTGGAGACCTTCGATGGTGTTTGAATGACAAGTGCAGAGCGAGAGAGAATTGGGAAGGGACACCCTAGCTGACCTGTCTGGAGGCCATGACGTCAGCATGGACCGGGAAGGAATAGGATGACGTGGCAAGCTGCATGGCAACAGATGGGTGGGAAAGGGTGAGAAGAGGCAAGTAGAGAACATGAGACACATGGAGGAATGCACCAACATGAAGCCATGAGGCACGTGCCATGCGGCTGCACTGTGGCATGCGGCTGCACTGTGGCATGCGGCTGCACTGTGGCATGCGGCTGCACTGTGGCATGCGGCTGCACTGTGCCATGCGGCTGCACTGTGCCATGCGGCTGCACTGTGCCATGCGGCTGCACTGTGCCATGCGGCTGCACTGTGCCATGCGGCTGCACTGTGGCATGCGGCTGCACTGTGCCATGCGGCTGCACTGTGCCATGCGGCTGCACTGTGCCATGGGGCTGCACAGTATGGTTCACCTTCTTGAGGAGCTCGTCCTCCGGCTTGGGAAAGAACAGCTCTGAGCCGCTGCTCCCCGCTCCCTTGGCCTGCTTCCTTCCCGCCTGCACACGGCCATGCGGCATTGGATGACAGCACATGGTCACATCAGCCGACTTGGGTTACTCGCGCTATGGTGTTGAGATGCGGTCATTTTAATGCATGAGGACTGCATGGAAGGCTGGATCCAGAACTTCACACCTGCAGGCTCTTGAGGAGCCTCAAGTTTTTTTTAGGCGCCTCAAAAATGTCAATGCATGAGGACTGCATGGAAGGCTGGATCTAGACTTTCACATCTGCAGGCTTGCCCATGGCCGTGGTGCGTGCCAGGTGGGTGCCAGGTGGTGCGTGCCAGGTGGGTGCAGGCCGTGCGTGCCAGGTGGGTGCCAGGTGGGTACCAGGTGGTGCGTGCCAGGTGGGTGCCAGGTGGGTGCAGGCCGTGGTGTGACATTACATGGTGAGGTCAGACCACAGAAGAAGTGTGTCGAGCCTATTTTATGGTCGACTCGAAAACAAGTGTGTCGAACAGGGTGAAAGGATGTTATTACATCATTACTGCATTGTTGCCACATTCTTGCTATATACAAATGGGCGATCTGCAGCTGTAACCTGAGCGACCATGCGTTAGAAGAACTCCTGTGTAGAATTGAGCACAGCCATTACCTTGCCGCCCGTTGGGGGGTACATGCGTGTGAGAATGAGACACCCTGAACCTGAGCTTGCATGCGTTGAGCATTCCTGCATACAGCCACAGCCATTACCTTGCCGCCCGTCTGGCGGTACATGCGTGTGAGAATGAGCCGTAACCTGAGCGAGCATGCGTTGGCAGTTCTTGCATATAAATGAGGGTATTTGGCACAGGCGCAGCCATTACCTTGCCACCCGTCTGGCGGTACATGCGTGTGAGGATGAGGAACTTCTCCACTGGTGCATTTTAAGTCGACTCAAAAGTCACCTTGAATTGAGCACAGCCATTACCTTGCCGCCCGTCTGGCGGTACATGCGTGTGAGGATGAGGAACTTGTGAGGTGTGTATCAACCACGGGAGGGCGAAGAGGGGTTACGAAACAAATACCTTGCCGCCCGTCTGGCGGTACATGCGTGTGAGAATCAGAAACTTCTCCACCGGTGCTCCCTTCTCCAGCTGCCACGTGGACCAATGGGAAGGGGGAGAGTGGTGAGGTAAGGTGGGAATAAAGGTGAGGGGGAGGAGGGGGATAGGATAGGAGGAGGAAAGAGGCAAAACAGGATGGTGAATTTACGGCTTTGCAAAACCAAGGCGCACCACCGATTGTTATGCAGCAGCACAGATTACTGACCCACCATGGGATGCAGAGGTTTCAGGTTTGGAGATCCGGATTCAGGGTTTTGGGTTTGAAGTTTGGATGTGAAATTTCAGGTTCAACGTTTTGGCTTTTAAGGTCCATGACCCACCATGGGCTGCAGCATGCTTCTGAAGAGGTGTGGCACGAGTTGGAAGGGCAGGTTGGCCACACGCTCGCACACCACCACGCCCACACGGCCCCTCTGCACTGCAGCGCTGCCCGCTGTTCGAGGTTTCATATTCAGGGGCTCAGATTCAGGATTTCGGGTTTCTGGTTTCAGGTCTGGGGTTTTCAGTTCAGGGTTTTAACTTGGCACCGGTGACCCACCATGGGCTGGAGCGTGCTTCTGAAGAGGTGTGGCACGAGTTGGAAGGGCAGGTTGGCCACACGCTCGCACACCACCACGCCCACACGCCCCCTCTGCACTGCAGCGCTGCCCGCTGTTCGAGGTTTCATATTCAGGGGCTCAGATTCAGGATTTCGGGTTTCTGGTTTCAGGTCTGGGCTTTTCAGTTCAGGGTTTTAACTTGGCACCGGTGACCCACCATGGGCTGGAGCGTGGTTCTGAAGAGGTGTGGCACGAGTTGGAAGGGCAGGTTGGCCACACGCTCGCACACCACCACGCCCACGCGCCCCCTCTGCATCACCTTCCACAGCTCGTCCCACTGTGCCCTGTTGTCACACCCCTCGTGCAGGAACCGGACAAAGTCCGCCGTCCACCCCTTGGACTGCAAGGGCGGTTTGGTGGGGTTGTGGGCGGGATGAGGATGAGGACGCGACCACGAGTTAGAATAAGTGGGTGGTGATCAATCAAAGGGCAGGTGGATTATATTTGAAACTAGATGCACAAAGCGAGCTGATGCTAAGCTGGTCCACTGCCATGCCTTTGGATTAAAATAAAAAATAAAATGTTATGAGGCGTCTCAAAACCGATGTTAAGCTGGTCCACTGCCATGCCTTTGGATTCTCGAACAACAGCATTCATCAACTCACAAGGCATGGCATGGCATGATGCACCCGGTGTTTTTTATGAACGCCATGCCTCACCTTGCAGATCAACGGCAGGCATGGAGTGAGCCCCAGAATGCTTTTTGAGTCGACTCAAAAGTCAACTCACAAGGAATGGCCTGATGTCCCAGAATCCTTTTTTATGAATGCCATGCCCCAGAATGGCATGCAGAATGCTTTTTGAGCCCCAGAATGTTTTTTTATGAATGTCATGCCTCACCTTGCAGATCAACGGCAGGCATGCAGTGAGCCCCAGAATATTCCCCTCATCCCCTGCTTTCACCACCGTTGCCACACTCCCACTCCCGCTCCCACCAGCAGCAGCGTCCCCTTCCCCAGCTGCGCCTCCGCCCGGAGTTCCCGAGGTGACTGCGTCCACAAAGGCCGGCAGGTCCCACCGCTTGCCGTCCAGGAAGGTTCGCAGCAGCGCCTTCACGCCGTGGTAATCCGACGGCTGGGCGTCAAAGAAGTCGAAATCGACCATCAGGATCTGGCGGGGTTAGGCGGGATGGGATGGGAAATGTTGGTACGGGGGAGGCATGGCAGGGAACCATACCGGCAGCATGGAAGGGAAGTGTCACAGCATGGCAAGAGTGCACAGCCGGCAAACACTCTGCTCTCATCCTTCCATCCTTGCAAGCATGAAAGCGCGGGAGAGAAAGGTACCACGGCTAAAGCACTGGAAGCTGCGCTGCGGGAACCCTCATCCCTCAATTCACTGAAAAATAACTCTCGCCTCTCCACTAGAGCGTCTAGAACGAAACCGTGAAGCCTATTGTTAGTCAGTTGATCTCTGAGCATGCGACTCTGAAGCACTCAACCCTCCAACAGCTATCTGTACCTCCTCGTCGCCTTTCTCCTCGCCGTCGCCGTCGCTCCCTTCATCTCCCTCCTCATCTTCGTCCTCCTCTTCCTCCTCTTCTCCCTCGTGCTCCTCGCGATCATCCTCCCTATCGTCGTCCTCCTCCTCTTCCTCTTCTACGTTCTCATTGGCCGCGATGTCAGTTTCCGCTCCCTTTAGCGACCGTTTCTGCTTCAATCTCTTGTCTAGAGCGGGCGAATCAACCCTGGCGCCGTCTCTCCCTCCGTTCTCCCCGTCGGCATTCCCAATGGGTCTAAGACCTAGAAGCTCCAATTGCTGGTCTTCTGACAATCGATCTAGTAGCTTCCGGAGTCGTCGCCGCGAATCGCGGCGTGACTTCACTACAGAGAAGGGGTTGTTGAACGGCGGCAAGCCGAAAAAACTCGAACTGGCGAGGCTGCGAACCATAGTGGCAAGCAATGACAAAATGATCATCCCAATGAGCAGAGGAGCGGTAAACAAACAAATATAATATAATAAAAATATATTCGTAATGCAAACATGGCGGTGTAGCTCACATGGTAGAGCGAATGCTTCGCATGCGATAGGTAAGGGGATCGATACCCGTCTCCTCCACAATCCGGTTTCTTTGTTGCACATCTCCCTTGTTGTGCAACTCATACCATTTTGTGTTTTAGCATCAGGAAAAGAAGTGTCTCCCATTCACTGGCCACTTTGGAGACTATGCACGAAGTGTCTTCCATGCACCAGGAGACTACACAGTGCATCAATGCATGTTGTGGTATCACGTTTGGAACACTTACAGGAGCACTGCACCTTGTTGGGAACCATACGCTTTATGGGGCCATCCATCCACCTCATGGGAGCAATCCCAGGAGGGGGCTGTGTACTGTACATCACTCTGCATCCCTGGGCATCTGCATGGCCATGGGACACCTTTATTAGCAGCCGACACAAATAACCTACTCCTAACCATATGTTCTACTACTGCATTTGCGCTACTGTATTCACTCGCTATGTCTTTGCCTCTCAGCATCCCTCAGCACCCGCAGGGCCATGGGGCGCCACTGACTGGCGGTGGACACTGACAGACCCATACCGGTTGCCAGGCCCTTGAGCAGCATCATGGTGCGCACTATAAAGAAGATGTCTGCTGGGAACGCCTGCGGTAGGGCAGGGAGCACCGCAAGGGGGGGGAGGATGATCGATTAGCAGCATCATGGTGCGCACTATAAAGAAGATGTCCGCTGGGAAAGCCTGTCGTAGTGACGAACAACGCTGTGCAGTATGATTGGTTAACAGCATCATGGTGCGTAGCAAAAAGGTAGCATGAGCAGAGAAATGCAGATGAAGAGTCAGAATCAATTGGCCGACTATGTGAGAGAGGAGAAGAAACAACAAGTGCCCAGGAAAACAGATTGCCTTCAAAAAGTCATTATGTTCCAAATAACCAAACAGACTGGTTAAGAAACCAAAGAAGCTGCCCCTGATCTATGCCCAAACCCTACCTTCATCGCATTGCTCTTGAGCGAGCTCTCCGCCCCAAACGGGTTAGCCCGGGTCCCAAGAAACCAAACAGACTGGTTGACAGAACAAAGAACTGCCCCTGATCTATGCCCGAATCGTACCTTCATCGCATTGCTCTTGAGCGAGCTCTCCGCCCCGAACGGGTTGGCGCTGGTAACCCCGTTACCAGTGCCGGTGTCAAACATAATCATTGCCATGCGGCGAAAGCTGTTGGGGTGCTCCCCTGCTGTCTTGGCCGTCTCTATCCCCATCGCCCTGCCACCAAAAGTAAGAACGGCGGGGTGGGGAGGGGTGGGGAGGGTTGGGGGGAAGCAGGGAGGAGGATGCATCGCAATGGGGTAGACGGGATGCAGATGAGGTTAGGGTCGGGTTCAGGGTTGGTATTTGAGGTTGGATCCTCCCTGTCCCAGCCTATCCTCACCTGAAGCAGGAGCCCGCTGCAAGCACATCATCAACATCTGCAACATCTGCACCATCTGCTGGCCACAACTAGACGCGCCAGGTCAGCCTCAACCCCTCAACCCCTCTGGCAGCTGCTTGGTCTGCCCGTACTCCAGCAGAGCCACCCTGGCCCCCCCCGCACACAAGAATGTTTTCAGGTTGAATCCCAACCTATCCCCACCCATCCCAAATCCCTCACCTAAAGCAGGAGCCCACAGCTAGCATGTCTTCGTCTGCTATCGCCACCACCAAGCGCGCCAGATTCAGCCTGAGCGCCTCTGGCAGCTGCTTCGTCTGCCCATAATCTAACAGAGCCACCCTGCCCCCCGCGCACACGAGGATGTTTCCTGGATGGGGGTCGGCCTGAAAGTGACCGTGCTGCAGCAGCATGCGCCCGTAGGCCGTGGAGAGAGCAGAGAAGATGCGACTGGGTAGGGGAGGTTGGTAGGGGGCCAAGAAGAAAATAGGGACAAGTTGTGTGAGGAGGGCGTGTGGATGCGGCGGCGTGGTGCAGCAGCATGCAGCCAATGACGGTGAATAGAGCAGAGGAGATGTGACTGGCGAGGGAAGGGGCCTGGGGGGACAGGGGAGGGAGTGGAGGAGTAGGGGGGCGAGCAGGAAAAGGTGTGAGGATGGGAGGGTGGGGAGGAGGAGAGAGCCTGGAACTGGGAGGCAAAGCAAACAGGGACGGACGGGGGCAGGCAGGGAGCGACGTGACTTTTGAGTCGACTCAAAGGGTGGGGAGGAGGAGAGAGCCTGGAACTGGGAGGCAAACAGGGACGGACGAGGGCAGGCAGGGAGAGTGGCCATGGCACACATCATGTGACCTTACGCAGACTCTGCAAGGGGTGTACAAACACGAGAATCCCACCCAATCCCGCCCAACCCCATTCCACCCCCATCCACCCCACCTCACCCCACCCCACCACACCACACCCCACCCCACCTTTTGGTCTGCCTTGCGAGTGCACCACTGGGGCTGATGCCTCGCCGGCGCATCTCCTCTGGGAGCCTCAGGATGGGCGTGCCGTCAGCAAGGGGTATGCGAACAAGAGCACCCCACCCAACCCCGCCCCACCGCACCCACCTCTTGGTCTGCCTGGCCAGTGCGCCACTGGGGCTGATGCCTCGCCGGCGCATCTCCTCGGGCAGCCTCAGGATGGGCGTGCCGTCGATAAAGTCCATCACCAGTAGGCCCCTGGGGGAGCCACGGGCAGGCGGGGTGAGTGGGCAGTGAAGCAGGGTGTTTCTGAGAATTATCAAAAGCAACAGACCAGACAAGAATGGCCTCGGGATGGGCGTGCCGTCGATAAAGTCCATCACCAGTAGGCCCCTGGGGGAGCCACGGGCAGGCGGGGTGAGTGGGCAGTGAAGCAGGGTGTTTCTGAGAATTATCAAAAGCAACAGACCAGACAAGAATGGCCTCGGGATGGGCGTGCCGTCGATAAAGTCCATCACCAGTAGGCCCCTGGGAGAGCCACGAAAAGGCAGGTGGAGGCAAGTGGGGCAAGCAAGAATGCCTCAGTTGAAGAATGGCCTCAGAATGGGCGTGCCGTGTATAGAGTCCATCACCAGCAGGCCCCTGTGGGCGGCATGGGTGGACGGGAGGGGAGAGGGAGAGGAGATACGTGGCAAGCGACGCTGTTTGTTTCGAGTCCAGTATCCCCCTCAGAGTGCAGCGTGCCTTGCCTTGTATTGAGTCGACTCAAAACACGTGCCTTGCCTTGTATGAGCTCCGTCAGCAACAGCTGCCTGGCCTGGGACCAGCAGGACACAATGGGCGAAGAAGGAGTGGGTGTGCGTTTGCCTGGATGAAGCTTGGCCCTGGGTATGCCGACGGGTATGGCGGCGGGAATAGACGAGGAGATTCTGCAGCGGGAAAGGAAGATGGGCGCAGGAAGGGAGGAGGTGGAGGAAGATTGAAGAACGCAAGTAATGTGTGGAGAAAGGGTGCAATCGAGGGGGAGGGGTAGTGGGAAGAAGGCAGAGAGACGATCCCGTGTGTAATACAAAAAACAGCATATCATCTCCTAACAGATGAGGGCCACGTATGAGGTGACAGCATAAGCAGCACCCTTACCTAGTGACAAGGCCTGGTATGGCTGCAGGCACGATGACAGGTGACGACCGTGTATCCACCTCCGCACTCCTCCCACCATCTTCAACCCCATGCCGACCTCCATGTCTTGCCTTTGTCCCCGCATGAGCCACACTACCTACCCTACCCACCCTCTCCATCCTATCTGCCCTATCCGCCTTGCTAACCCCTCCACGGCCCACACCACTTCTGCCAGCGCGCCTGCTGCTCCGCATTCCCCCGTGCCTCTCCTGCCTCTCGCCCCCTGCGGGCCGTGCCAGGGCGTGTCTGATTCGCTCCATGGCTGCTGCCTCGTGCACAAAGTCAAACTCGTACCGGATCTGCAGAAGATAAGGCAGAGGACAGCAGTTGGTTAGAGTTCTTGTACCGTGCCTGCTCCTGTGACTTGGTCACCCCATCTCGCCCACTTCCGGCTGTGCCAGGGCGTGTCTGATTCGCTCCATGGCTGCTGCCTCGTGCTCAAAGTCAAACTCGTACCGAATCTGATGCAAGAGGGACGAGGGAGGGACGAGGGAAGAAGGAAAAGGGCAGCACATATCTTAACGCCTTTGAGCCATTTCTGAGATTTGGCACATCTGAAACGTTCATGGCTGCTGCCTCGTGCTCAAAGTCAAACTCGTACCGAATCTGCACCACAGGGGAAAGACAGGAGTGGGTTGGTTAAGGAGCGAGTCAGGCACGCTCCTGCCATGACAGGAGCGTGCCTGACTCGCTCCATGGCTGCTGTGCTGCCTTGTGCTCAAAGTCAAGCTCGTACCGGATCTGCACCACAGGGAGGGGGGACGAGACGAGGGGGGAGGGGGGAGATTTGAGACCTTCGAGTCTCACATGCATCATGGCGGCTGCCTCGTGCTCAAAGTAAAGCTCGTACCGGATCTGCGGAGTAGTGACAAGAGATGCAGATGTAGGGGGCGGGAGAGAGCAGCACACTGCTACTGGGGTGACAATGCACCCTGCACAGTGCACGCAACTGCTGCTCCAGCTCAGAGATGGGACCCAGCAGGTCGACCATAAGCTCGGCGCGGTGCAGAAAGCACTGTACTACTGGGGGTGCACCATGCGCAATAAACAGTGTGCACCCTGCACCCTGCACCCTGCACCCTGCACCGTGTAACAGGTTCCATCCACATACCTGCTGCTCCAACTCAGAGATGGGACCCAGCAGGTCGACCTTGAGCTCGGCGCGCTGCAGGAAGGCGCCAAAGAGACGCAGATTCGCGAGGTCCATGAGCATCAGCCGCTCTGCCCCCGCACGCTGCACCTGTGGTGCGAGAAAGAAGGGGTGGTGGGGAGGGTGAGGTGGGACTAGAGGAGCAACAAGGTGCAATTAAGTGCATAGGTGATGCGAGGAGTGGGCGTCGAGGCTCTGATCTCGTGAGTGCCATGAGCATCAGCTGCTCTGCCCACGCACGCTGCACCTGTGGGGCGAGAACAAGAGGGTGGAGAGAGTGGGTGAGGAAGCTGGCAAGCCTATCTTCCTATCACAGAACGCCATACCACCCCATCATGCATATGCTCTGCCTGCCCGCCATACAAGCATACTCATTCGCACGGAGCCCTGCATATGTGCTGCTTGCTTACCTTGATGGCGACTCTGCGCCCATCCTTCAACCTGCCCCTGTGCACCTGCGTGCCAGACGGCACCCCATCACACATACACACAAACAGAGGCACGGTGGAGGGGGAAGCAAGGAAGAAAATTGAGAATTGAGTTTGAGCAAAAAAAAGAGCTCCGGGGCAGCGTAGATTGCAACAAGCCCTTGATCACGATGCACAATGTCAACGTATCACATAACACAATCTCCTCTGTTCCCTTCTCCCTTCCATCCTCCGTCGTCCCACTCATGCTCCCACCATCCTCCCTTTCTTTCACGCTGACCTGGGCAATGGACGCAGACCCAACCGGCTCCTCCTCAAACTCCGCGAACACGTCTTCCAGCTGCACCCGTGCCACGTCAGCGCTTGCCACGTCATTCCCTGCCACGTCAGCGTGTGCCAGCTCAGCCTCAACAGTGCGTCGGACGAGAGGGAAGGGGTCGGCAGGCGCACTGTCATGGAGGGGGGCGAGGAGACGCACCCATGCTGGGGGGGACATGTCCGGCTTGGCTAGGAACTGCCCTGCCTGAAAGGGTGGGGAGAGAAGGAGAGAGATGGGGGAGGAGTGGGGAGTTGATGGTTGAGGGTTGGGGGTTTAAGGACATGTCTGGCTTGGCTAGGAACTGGCCTGCCTGGTGGGGAAAGAAGGAGAGAGAGGGGGGAGGAGAGAAGGGATGGGGGATGAATGAAGAGTGGAGATGACATCAGTCAGCATATGCAGGAAGGGACGTGTCTGGCTTGGCCAGGAACTGCCCGGTCTGGTGGGAGAAACGCGGAAGGTCAGGAACAAACAGAGAATGGCAGCTGTGCGGCTATACCTTGAGGAAGAAACCTTGCATCTCGGTGCACAGGTGTCGAGGATTCACATGCGTGAGCATGGTTGCAGCAGCAGTCATTTGCAAGGAAAGTACCCTGCTGCGGGCTTTTGAGTCGACTCAAAAATGGTTGCAGCAGCAGTCATTTGCAAGGAAAGTACCCTGCCGCGGGGGCAATACCTTGAGGAAGAAGCCCTGCATCTCCGTGCAGAGCGAGTGCAGTATTTCCGTCCCCCCCTCGAGATTCCTTTCGAGTCGACTCAAAGGTCGTTATTGTTTCTGCACTGCCGTACCTTGAGGAAGAAGCCCTGCATTTCGGTGCAGAGCGAGTGAAGTATCTCCGCCCCCCGCTCGTGCTGCTCCTCCCACGCCGCCCGCCGCTGCTCCTTGCTCAGCCTGCCTAGGCGCACGCGCACCTGGCACAGCTGGTGGCGCGCGCATGGGGATCGGATTGGGGGAGTGGAAGTGGGGAAGTGCGGAAGCAGGCGGAAGGAGCATGCGTGTGCGGACTTCGGAATTACTATTGAGAGACTATGGAAAGAGCACTGTGGAAAGAATGGACTTCTGGTCTACTCCATTGGGAACTGCCTTGAATGCACGACTCACACGGCTCGATATAATCACCTTGTAACTGCCTTGTTATGTTCACATTGTAGCTGCCTCTGTATAATCACCTTGTACTGCCTCGTCGTGGTCGCTTCGTCTACCTGCGTGTGGTTGGGCGAACCAACCTCCAACAGATATAATCACCTTGTAGCTGCCGTACAGAAGCACGGCTCGTCTCCAAAAATCGACAATGCGATGCAGCGCCTGCTGTTGCTCCCGCCAACCCTCCATCTTCCTTGTCCTTCCGTCACTCCTGCTACCGCCACCGCTGGTAGCGTTGCTGGTAGCGTTGGTAGCGCTGGTAACGCTGTTCGTTCCCCGCCCCGTGGCGCTCCCCGCCTTGTCATGCGAATGCCATGGCGCGCCGGACAGCCCGCTCCGGAATTGCGACTCCGCCTGCACGATCCGATCCTGCAGCCATCCCGCGAGCTCGGCGCGCAGCGTCTCGGGGTTCGAGCCTACGATCGAACTGCCGTTACGGTCGGTCGAGGAGACAAGAGATTGCTTCATGATGGTACCCGGCGGGCTACTATGGCGATAAGCCAGCTGGTTGGGAGTTGAGGAATAAGTGATTAATGGGGGGCCGTTCTCCAACGAGATCGTTAGCGCATGGGCCTGACATGGAGATACAATCGACTTATCATTATTCGATTATCTCAAAGACCAGACACTACGCGCACGAGAAGTAGGCACGACTAAGCAAATTAGAAAGGGAAAGGTAAGGACTCGTTGACGTACTGAAAGGGATGAGGGACTCCATTGATTGTTTTAGATGCTGTTGGTGGAAAGTCTGATCAGGTTTTCTTGCGATGGGGGATGAGATGTTACTCAGTTGGCGGCGAAGACTTACGAGGTGTCGCCTGCCTCAATTTCGACCTGTGTGGCACGTCAGATTGCGGATGAGGGCACAAGGCGCACGGCGAAGTGTGGACGAGCAACAGTGCTGGATCGACGAAAATGGCGAACCGTTTTCAGGGCAACTCTCCTCTCGCCATCCATGTTACAATAGAACAAATCCATCACAGCACTATTACGGGGCTGTCCCCCTTTCCAAACCGTCAACCACTGTTTGGTTGGTTCGTTCCGTTCCAAGCTGGTAACTACTAGTTCTACCGAGTGGAAGCCTTCTCAACCACGCTATACGACGATCAAAGCTTTCACGCCTCGGTGTGAAACCGCTGATTTGCTGCGTTGCCTTGCCTCTGTCTCTGGTCTGGCCGTCTTTTTCCTCCATTATTCCCCTCACTTCCCTTCCCGCACATGCCACTAACACACCTGCTCTGCCGATTTCTTCCCCATTCCATTGGCACCACAAACCACCGCGCACGGAAAGGAGGTTACTACGCGGCGCGGTCGAATTTTGACATTAGCACCTTATGGGGAGGAATCTAATACGAGGTGAGAAACCCTAGCGCTATTGACGGAGAGATCGATGGTTAATCTGTTACTCTTGGCAGGCTAAGACTAACCCATTGAATGCGTCTAATGTTGACTCAAATGTGCTCATATTAATGGGTTCACGACGCATGTTGTAACGCCCGTGTTCGCGTAAGAGATCGATCTCACCTTTGGTGGTGTGATGCCGTGATGGGTTGGCAAATGGCGACTATAGCCTGGCTGGTAAGTAGGGATGGAAGGAGATAAGTGAGGTAGAGGGAGTGAAGTTGAGTGATAGATGTCGAGTGGCGGATGTTGGGAGGGAAGTTGGGTGGGATACGTTTTTGTTTTTTACTTTCTTTTCAGGGTAATGCCATGTTCGGTAAGAGGGGATCGACCGCGGGATCAGGCTGGATCCCTCGATTTTGAGCGGCAGGCCAGGGAATCCGAGTTTCAATCCCCCCCTCTGGTGCGGAAGATTTCCGCCAAGGGGGGGGTTGTGGGGGGGATGCGGCGCGGGCGACACTCTAGCATGGGGTTCGCGTCGCATTGAAGGCCCACGTTCGGACTGTTTTTCACATTTTTTTTGTCCTGACCGCACTGTTTTGCCTGGTTCGCCAGGGTCGAACCTGGTGGCCCGGCATTTTGATCCTCCCTCAAACCCCCTCCCCTGGCTGCCGAACATCGCCCAAGGTGTGCCTTGCTTTGTTGTCCATCTCACCAACATTCCTGATACAGCCGCTCTGGCCGTCTTTTTCCTAGAATTATCGGCGTCACTTGGGATCGTACGGCAGCAAAGTGACGGAAATTACCCAAGTTGATCGGAAATGCAAGAGTAGTTTGACGTGGCGCAGCGGAGTTCCCTCCGTGAATTTCGCCTGCCGTGAATCTCGTTCCTTCCGAACCAACCGTCGCCGCTGGAACGAGATTCACGGCGGAGTTCTTAAGATTATTGGTATCACTACAGCCGTGGTGTCATCAATAATTGTCCGACACGCCCCTCGGACCGCACAGCAGAATGACGGACGCAACTCAGACTGATCTTGCCTCGTGTGCGATCCGATCCGCAGTGCGGCTTGGCCCTGCGGCGTTCAAAAGGGACGGTCCCGCCGTGACTTGCCATACTCGTGACTCATTCATTCCTTTCAACCAACCAACCTAAACGATGGCGGATGCGCGTTTCCTTTCAGCTACATTGGCATGGGTGATACTAGTCGTGCTGATGGCTCTCAATCTGACACCTGCGTCAGCGGTTCGCAACGCCAACCCGCGCATGCCTGCTGGAAAGGTGGACCCGCGCATGCTTGCTGAAAACGTGGACCCGTGCATGACCGACCCGCAAACAAACCCCGCGTGCGATCCGTTCTGGGAGGACGTGGCCGTCAAGTACTCGCCGCAGTACAGGTTCCACCCGCGCGAGACCCTCTGGCCAATTACGATCGATGAATACCTCACCCATGTGACTGACTCCGAAGGTTTTGTGAATGGTACAGAGCATGGGGTTGTATACCAGGCGGGCCCGATCACTCCCGACAACCTCGATACATTGCTGGAGAATGCAAATCTGAATACCAGTCATGAATCTACTGTCCTGTACAGTGGGGATATGTTTGTCAACTGGACTATGTCTCCCTGGGTGACGGACTCGGCGCGCAACCCGGAAAACGGAGGCACGAAGCTGTACACGATCATTTACAATCCGAAACCCGACGACAAAGACTCGTTTGTGGAGATTCAGTATTGGCTCTTCTACCCTTACGTGAGTATTCCAAGTGGTACCCTGGTTTCAAGTGCTTCCTTTTGTCTCCTCCCCTCTCTCATAAAATGTTGTCAATCTGTTTCAACTATTCAACCCTTCTCGTTTGCAGAACTATGCCAGCATCTTTCATGGGAACCACATCACGGACCTGGTGGCGATTGCAATCCGCTTCTCAAAGACCGGCCAGCCGCAGCGCATTTGGTACGCGCAGAACGGCGGCGGCCCCGTGTGGGCGTGGGACACCGGAAACTGGGCCGACCCCAAGCGAGCAAACTTCTCTACGGTGATGGGAACACATCCCATTGTGTATGTCTCGGATGGAAATCATGAGCATTTCCCTCGAGTTGGTGAGTAGTACCTCGAGTAACACTCTGTATCTTGTCCGCCCCTCATCTAGGCAAAGGCTGATCCCCATTACTGCTCTGTTTTTCTCTTTCATTCGCAGGTGAATTCAATTGCAAAAACCTATGTTTCGATCTCACGGCCAACGGAGGAACCGTGTGGACGCCCAAGGACAACCCGAAGTCTTTTGAGTTTGTTCACGTGAAGAGCGAGATGTCCGCCTCCATGCCGAATGCAGCCAGGGCGAAGCTGTTCAAGGGGAGAAACAAGTGGATGGCTTTCAATGGGAAGCTTGGTGGATATTGTAAGTGTGTTTGTCCTTCAACCACGGTGTGTAGAGAATGCTTTGGATGATGGGTGCTGACTTTGTTTGCTTTTGTTCTCAGATGCGAAGAGGCCGCTCCCCTTCGAATCGGGACTCGTAACTGGAGTGAACGCGATATCTTTCCAGAAGCACCAGGGGGAGGTAAGCTTGTGTTTGGCTATTAGATATTTTGTATGTTGTCATTCTCTGGCATGGCATGCAAATCGGCCTCTAATATTTCTTCTTGTTGCGCCAACAGTTCACTGCTGCGCTAGGGATGCTAAGTGAGAACGTGGCGAATCCCTGAGGGGTGCTTGCTGTGAGAAGAGGCAGCGTGGCACAAAGTGGAAGTCATCCCAGTGTGGCATGGGGCAACCCCGACATGGGTTGATTGGGGAGGGGACCCTCTTTCTTCAGCGAAGCGACTCTCCTGGCCCCTTGACACTTGACACCGACCCAGTTCCGCCACCATAGATTTAGCTCTGAATAAAACGTGACGTGCTCCTCCCCATGTTGCATGTTGCCGAGTGTCCTTGCTTACTCCGGCTACTTCCCCTGAAGTGGCGTGCTGGAGTGGGTGGGGATGCCCATGAATGTCCTATTCATTGAGCTATGTAACCAGCAGGAGTGTAGTGCATGACAAGTTCACCAACGCCATAAACAGATACACTACCGTAACTCACGGTTCACATACGCACATCAAGGATCATTCATGGAGAAAGTGACGCCCCATCATCCACTGAACAGTCCCAACAATCTGGCACAAGGTGGCAACGAGTTGACGCGGTGTGGCTGGCTAGAGCAAACCCTCATCCATACCTGTCATCTCTTCTTCACCATAGTATCCAGCGAGCTCGCAATGAGATTCCTTCCGGTTATCAGGGCTGCTCTGCACACCGGGCTCGGACGTTGCTTCTTATTGCACCCACCCACAAACAGTTCACTGCTGAGCTCAAGAAAGTGTAAGCAGGGGGCGTGCCTGTGGGCACAAGGCAGCTTGACACAGCGTGCAATACTATCAGGCAATCCTGACATGGTTTGTGGACAGGAAGGGACCTCCCCTACCCCTAGCTACTCTTCTGGCTGCTAGAGAGCTGTGACACCAGGCAAGAACAATCATGAGTTGACAAGCGTAAGCAATGAATGTGTCGGACTCCTCTTGTTGCAAGTTCCCTAGTAGCGTGACGTGTTGCTGCAGTTTCCGCAGTGGAGTGACGAGTTGTTGCCTTGTTTCCCACGGGAAGCACTGAATGCATCGCATTCACCGGTGCCAGCAATAGTTCCAACCACACCACTGCAACCACAACACAAACCCTCTCCTCACCCAATGTAAACAATAGTACACCCAATATTCAACCTGCTCTCCGCCTCGTGCCGCGAAACCAGCGGGCTGCCCGAAAGATATTTCAGCACAGCTGCCCGAAGCACGCCCGTGCCAAGCCCATGCACAATGAAGAGCACAGCACCAGGCGGGCTGGACTGCACTGCTAGGTCCACCGCTGCTAATGCATCCTCTGCACTCTGCCCCCTCACATCCACTGTGTTCCGTGCTGTCTGCACAGCTGCCTCTCTGACTGCTGGCAGAGGGGAGGAAGAGGAGGAGGACGGGGAGGGGAACTGACCGCCACGCTTCGAGACACGAGTATTATTTGAGTTGGTGTTGCTGTTGCTGTCGTCATCTTGCTCCCATTGGCTGCCAAACAGTCCTCCTGTTCCCCCCCTCCTTCCTGCCTCTCCATCTGTCCTGCTCTGTCCACCACCATCACTGCCATCGGCGGCGGGAAGGAGGTCTGCTCTCTGCACTTGCAATCGCAGATTTCCCAGTTGAACCGTCACAGACCGAGCAGCGGCTGCTTCTGCCGAGCCTTCTCCCGAACCACTGCCCACTGCCACCACCGTACCACGCATATTGGTCCCGAACCTCCTCACATACACAGGCTCTCCCAGAACAGGAACCCAGTCATTCCCTCCTGGGTCTCCCGCCGAGCCACCAACCGAAGCATCCGAACCTATAGCAGGGTTAGCCTCGGGAGAGAGGCCCGTCAAAGCCGCCACTGCTGCCACGTCAGCACAGGCCCGGTCCGTCGCTGCCCGCTCCGGCACACCAGCAAGGGAAGCTTCCTGGAAAGCGGCAACAGCACGGGAAATCTCCTGTCTCGCTGCCAATACTTCCTCCTGAACATCTCTCTGATATCGTCTTTTCCAAAGCACCTCCCTGACAGGCAGAGGCTGCTCCTGCTGGCCCCGCCGCGTGGTATGGTGGGCCTGAACGTCCTTCAACAGCCTCTCTGCTTGCTGCCTTGCCTCTGCTGCCTCTCTCGCGTACTCCACGTTCCGCTGCCACTGCTGCTTGAGTGACGCTAGTATTCCCACTTCCTCACCCTCTTCCCTCCCCCCTCCCAGAGTAGCATACTCATCCTCCTCACTCTCTCCCCCTTGCCTTCTCTCCCTTATTCCCCTTCCCTTCTCCCCGTCCTCCTTCTCCTCCGCCTCCCCCCCTCCTCCCTCCTCTTCCCCTGCCTCCAAAGTGGCAGCACGGGCCAGCCTGGCAGCTCTGGCAACGAGGGAGGGGGGCAGGCCGCGGGAGGCAGCGAGGGAGAGGGCGTGGGAGGTGCCGGGGAGACCCCAGAGGATGTGGAAGGAGGGGCGCAGGGAGACTGGGTCGAACGCCACACTGGCGTTCTCAAACCGGGAATCGGCCGCCTGACGGAAGGAGGGGACAGTGCCAGGAGGGTGAACGGAATAAGGGGGTGTTAGAAGACTGGTCAGACAGAGGAGAGAGCATGGGAGACCCTTACGTACCCTGAGCTTCTCAAGGTCAGCGTAGTGAGTGGCGGCGAGCGTGAGTAGTGTGCGCTCTGACATTCCTCCCCCCCCCACTCTCCCTTTCGCCCACTCTCCCTCCCTCCCTACCTTGAGCTTCTTAAGGTCAGCGTAGTGAGTGGTGGCGAGTGTGAGCCCATTGCACCCCGCCAGGTGCTTCAGAATGGCCGCTGCGAGCGCCGCTCCCTCTGATGGGTCCGTGCCACTGCCCGCCTCGTCCAGGAGGATGAGAGTTGAGGAGGAGAAAGGGGAGGAGGAGGCGGAGGAAGAGGAGGGGGAAGAGTAAGATAACGCGGGAGAGGAAGGGGAGGAGGCCGAGGAGGGAGAGGAAGGGGACGAGGGAGAGGAGGCGAGGAGGATGCGGGAGACTTGGCGCATGTGGGCACTAAAGGTGGAGAGGCTCTGCTCCAACGACTGCTCGTCTCCAATGTCCGCCACCACGCGGTCATACCACGCCACCACCGCCACTCGCCCCCTCGCTTGTTCTCCATCCTCTCCGCTTTCCCCCATCCCCTGGCCCGCCTCCCCCCCCTTTAGCGCCCCTGTGAGGGGCAGAAAGAGCCCTGCCTTGGCCATGAGCGCGGCAATCCCGAGGGTCTTGAGGGCGGCCGTCTTGCCGCCTGCATTGGAGCCGGAGATGACCACCACTGCCACGCCGGCCGGCACCAGCAGGTCTAGATACATCTCCAGCAGCACTGGGTGCTGTATCCCGCGAATCTCAACCGCGTAAGATTCGATTTTATCGGATTCTCTCCCTGCAAGAATGTTTCCCCCTGTACCAGTGCCCCCAGGTGTATCTACTCCTGAACTTGTATCCCCATGAGCATGGGAGAGAGGGTGTGTGGGGGGAAGGAGGACAGGCGGGGAGGCACCCATCCACAGGGCATGCCTTGCACGGGCACACGCCAGGTCCAGCGCAACGATCCTGTCCGTCAGATCTCGAATCAACGGCGCACAATCCGCCACATGCTCGGCCATTTCCCGCAGCACCCTCTTCTCCTCCTCCGCCTCCTGCCCACTCAGCTCTGCTTCGTTATTGTTCAACTCGATAGCCTCTACAGGCTCCACAAAGAGTGTAGCGCCGGTGTTACTAACATCTAAGGTAACCCCTCCCGGTGTGACGGCACTCTTCTTCCCTGCTCGCACCGCCACGCACCCTCTCCCTCTCCTCCTACTCACCTGAGCCTCATCCATCCCCCCTCCCTCCACCACACGTCGCGCTGCTCTCTGCAATGATTCGTCCAGCTGGCGCCGGTTGTCCCGCCTGGCGGCGCGGATGGCTGCCAGCTCAGCGCTTGCTGAGTCAGCGAGAGACTTGAGGCGGGGGTTGATGGCGGTGCGGATGCGGTGGAGGAGATGGGGACACGTGGCAGCAGAGGAGAGGAGGGCTGTGAGCGGGGCGAGAGGCGAGGGGGTCTGGGAGGAAGAGGAGGAGGAGGAAGAGGAAGAGGGAAAGGAGGGACACAGAATGCCAGTTTCATCTGGGATCAACTCGATGCAAGCACTGCGGTGGAGCCGTGAGAGCAACCCACCCACGTCCACAGCACCATTGAAGTCCAGCCGTCGTGGCAGCAGCAGCGCTGCCTCCGTCTGCAGCAGCAGCGCCTGGCTCTCCTCCCACGTGCGCCCCACTGCCAGCCGCCCCTCCTCCGCCTCCCTGTACCCCATCACTGTGTCTGCGAATCGCGCCACCTGGCGGCACACGATTGGCCACTCCAGCAGGTCTTTTGGGAGCCACACAACCTTGGGAATGTCGGGAGCCATTCCCACCCTGCTTCCGTTCCCAATCCTGTTCTCACCAGACCCCGACCCCACCCCTCCTCTCCCAACCCTGTCCTCACCAGACCCCACCCCGTCCCTTCTCCGCTCTCCCTCCATCCCACCCACACCCGACTCTATCACATCCGTTAGAGTCACACCGCCTATGCTGTCCCCTCCTCCGCTTGTAGCAACACCACCCGCTCGAGCAGCAAGGCGACGCCTAACCCTGGCACAGCGCGCAGCAGTGTAGCGGCAGCAGGGAGATGCGAGGCTGCGGCAGGGCAAGGGTCCGAGCGACCCAGAGAGTGGCTGAGGGTGCCTGTAAGGGGGCAGCGTAGAGAGGCCAAAGAGCGCATTTTCACAAGAGGCCCGTAACTGAAGCCCGAGAGGCAAGTGTCTTGTTGGAATGAGCTTGCTTCTTGGCTTACTTGGGCGATTTCGCGAAAGTGCGGACGTGGGCTGGCTTGAGGGGCACGACAGGGCATGGGCCGGCAAAGGTGCTGATGATGGCAAGAGAGGGCGGTGGCTGCCAGCTGTTTCGACGACGAAGGTTCACTGCGAGGCAATCGTGATCAAATTTGAGCGAATGTGAGCAATTGAGCGACGAAGCGACTGTAAGAGACTGAGCGACTCAAACTACCGGCAGAAGCTGACGGCCGGCTGAGGAAACGCTAAAACGAGTCCCCAACAGTCACTTGACGATGGTCTGCGCGCCTCTGAGCGCGAGGAAGGCCTGCGCGTGCGGGTGGGGGAGCGAGCGCGCGATGGCGAAGGCGGCGGGGTTGGCGTAGCGCAGCTTGCTGTGCGGGTCCGTGTAGGGCGCCTCCAGCCCCGTTATATCGCAGTACTTCTTAGCGGGGTACATTGACGGCGGCGCCTCTATCGTCACGTCTGCGCGCGCACGGGGGAGGGAAGGGGGAAATGGGGAGAGACAATGAGCTGTCGTTCATTGGCTCATGGCAAGTAGAGACACATACGGTATTGACTGTGAAGTAATGATGAGAAAAACGACAAGTACAAACATAGCAACAAAGAACAGGTGGGGGGGTGGCAGGAAGGAAGGGGGGTTGGAGGAATAAGATCTCTAAGAGTACGGTATCCCTTCCCATTTCACTCCCCATACTCACTGAAACTAATATGAATGCATGCCTCTAACCCATCCAGCACCACATCCAGCTTGCATGTATCCTGTAACACAACCCCCACTAACAAGGATGAACTAGGGCTCTTTTGGTTGCCCGAGTGAGAAAGAAAAGCCCCACATTCATGGGTGCTTGAGACACCGGTGACCCGAGAGTGGCTGATGTGTCGCGATGCGATTGTGACGTTGTCCCCACAAGCTGTTGTGCCAAAGAGAGGAGCGCGACGAGGAAGAGCCTAGACAACAAGGTGATGGAACTTGGTGGGCCTTTCTCCACTGCATGCACCCTAAGAGCGACCATCAACCATGCAAAACAAAAACGGTCTGTTGTAGCCACCTGGATTGCGACGGTGCTGCCATTTCTCAACGTGCCGCTGTGCACCTGTTGCCCCGCAACACTTGCCCATGCGTGCATGCACACACACGCACGTGCATGTATGCATGTTCATACTCGCACACATACATCCATGCACACAGACACGGACATGTGCAAGTGCTCACGTGCACACGCGCACACACACATACACACAGAGTGCATGCAACATTGTACCCTCAGCACCACCATACTGATAGAATTCAAGAGTATGATTAGTAATGAGCCAACAAGGCTCTATAATACAAGCATGCAAGGAAGAGAAGGTTGTAGGAGGAGCTAACCCTATTGGCCAATAAGTTGGCCAATGGGTGAGGTGCCTTGTGGAGTAGGCAACCTCACAATGTGGCTAGGTTGGGATTGGTTGGTCTAAGGACCAAAAGTTGGCAAGTGCCAACCAAGGGCCAAGACCAAATCCAATCTTGACCAACCACAAAGTGTGGTTGGAGTGTACACCCAACCCCCCAAGAACCTAAAGGACTACACCTATTCTAGCCTATGAATGTTGTATATAGTGTACAATTACAACACAACCCCCCAACATGCATAAGGCTAGAAGATGTAATCAGGAGGCCGTCACAACTGGAGGAGGGGTGAGGCCAAGGAGACGCAGAAAGAAGGAGTGAGGTGCTTGGGGAAGAGCTTTAGTGAAGATGTCAGCGAGGTTGGCCGCCGAGTCGATCTTGCCAAGGCGAAGGTGCCCGGCCTCAACGAGATCACGAATGAAGAAGTAGCGAAGTTCAATGTGTTTGGAACGCCCATGATACACAGCATCCTTAGTGAGGTGAATGGTGCTGGCATTGTCACACCAGATTGTGGGACAACGCTGGGGTGCACCAAGCTCATCGAGGAGGAAGGTGAGCCAGCGCGCCTCCTGCGCAGCCATGGTTGCAGCGTAGAGCTCTGCTTCGCAGGAGGAGAGGGCGACGGCAGAGGAGCGTGTGGACCGCCAGCTGATGAGACCGCTACCCAGAGAGAAGCCATATCCCTGAGAGGACCGCCTGTCCGGGTGAGAGTCAGCCCAGGAAGAATCACTGTAGCCATTGAGGAGGGGATGGGAGGGGCCGCCAAGGGTAAGGACATAGTCTTTTGTGCCACGAATGTAGCGAAGGACGCGCTTGGCGGCCTGCCAGTGTTCCTCTGTGTGCTTGCCAGCGCCAACGAAGCGAGCGAGGACGCTGATGGGGTAGGCAAGGTCAGGACGAGTGGAAACCATGGCATACATGAGAGAGCCGATGAGTTCAGGATAAGGATGGGAGGAGGCAGAGGGTGAGGAGGGTGGGGAGAGGTGGTGCCCAACTGAGAGTGGAGTGGGCTGGGGGCTGCCGCGCGCCATTTCAAACCAGTCCAAGACTTGCTGGAGATAGTGACCCTGAGAGAGGGAGATCGTGCGGGCGGAGCGGTCGCGAGTGATGGTCATGCCGAGGTAGTGCTGCAGCTCTCCCAAATCTTTGCACTTGAGCCGTGTGCCCAGCTCGGTCTTGACTTTCTCGAGCTCGGCAAGATCGGCGGTGAGGAGAATCATATCGTCAACATAGACGAGGATGTAGAAGGGGGAGGGGGAGGTGCGGAGGAAGAGGCTGGCGTCAGAGCGGGAGGTGTGAAACCCAAGCTCGGCAAGGGTGGCAGCAAGCTTGGCATGCCATTCCCTGGGTGCCTGGCGGAGCCCGTACACTGGTCGGCGCAGCTGCCAGACGGAGTCGGCGGGGAAGGGGAGGTGGAAACCCGCTGGGCGCTCCATGTAGATCAGTTCACGTAGCACGCCTTGCAGGAAGGCGTTGGAGACATCCATTGAGTGGATCTCCATGTTGAGGCGAGCGGCGAGGTCGAGTACGGCACGAACGGTAGCAGGTTTGGCGGTGGGGGAGAAGGTGTCGAAGAAGTCAAAGCCATACCGCTGCGTGAAGCCCTTGGCGCAATACCGGGCCTTGTAGACGGGCGGCTCTCCTGGTAGCTGTTTGACGCGAAACACCCACTTCCCCTTTACCACGTTCGTAGAGGAGGGAGGGCGAGGCACATCAACGAAGGAGGAGTTGGCAATAAATGCCTCGAGCTCCTTGATGATGGCGGCGAGCCAGAGCGGGGCGTCGGGGCAAGCCATGGCCTCCTCATACGTGGTTGGGATGAAGGTGGAGGGAGCAGAGGAAAAGGCGAAGACTGGTGTTCCAGAGAGGTCAAAGGTGATGGGAAGGAGGGAGGGGTCAGAGAGGTGGAGGTCAAGGAACTCCTCATGGGAGTCCTCAGAGAGGGAGGTGTGGAAGGCGCGGATGACCGCAGGTGCCGCTGCTGGTGCCGCTGCTGGTGCCGCTGCTGGTGCCGCTGCTGGTGCCGCTGCTGGTGCTGGTGCGGATGCCGCTGCTGGTGCCGCTGCCGATGCCGCTGCTGCCGCTGCACTCGCCGCTGCTGGTGCCGCTGCTGGTGCCGCTGCGGTGGCTGCTGCTGGAGCTGCTGCTGCTGCTGCTGGAGAGGTGGTTGAGGGGGCTGGATGCAAGACAGCCTGGAAGAAGTAGTGAAGGAGGGGGGAAAGAGGAGGGAGGGTAGAGGTAGAGAGGGTAACAGGGGGCGGTGCACCAAGGATACTGTCACGTGACCTGGTGTGAGGATACCGGGTGAGTATGGCGCGGGGAGTGGGGGAGGGAGGTGAGGGTTGGGAGGGAGGGGGAGGAGGGGCACCAGGGGAGGAGTGAGCGGGGGAGACAGGGGAAGACAGGGGGTCCGGGTCAAAGATGTCACCAGACGAGGGGGGGACACCGTGGGACTGGGAGGGCGGAGGGGGAGGGGGTGGGAGGATGGGGGGAGGAGGGAGGAGAGGGGGAGGGGTGGTGTCAGACCAGACAAGGGGACGAGTCAGAGGTGGGAGAGGGTCAGTGGACGGAGGAGAGGAATAGTACGGGGTGGATTCGTCAAAGACGACATCTCTGCTGCGAAATAGTCGACCGGAAGGGGGGTGGAGGAAAAGATAGTCGGGGGAAGAGGGGTTATGACCAAGGAAAATGCAAGGAAGGGTACGAGGGGCAAGCTTTCCCAGGGAACGGGATCGGTCAGACGGGTGAATGAGGACATATGCCTTTGAGCCCCAGACTCGAAGAGGGGAGACATCGGGTTTGGTCTTTGTCCATAGCTCAGTGGGGGTGGTGGAGGGGAGGAGGGGGTGAGGGTAAAGGTTAGTAAGGAGGGCGGCATGAAGGAGGGCATAGCCCCACAGAGAAGGGGGGCATGAGGCGTGGACAAGAAGACACCGAGCGGTTTTGGTGATCTCCCGAACACGGCTCTCAGCGACACCGTTCTGCTGTGGGGAGTGTGGGAGGGTGTAAGTCTGAAGAATGCCGCGGGATTGGCAATAGGAGGAGATTAGGTTGTTTAGGAACTCACCGCCACCATCAGAGTGAAGGCGGCGAACAGGGCGCCCAAAATGGGTGTTCGCTTGTTCGAGCCAGGCAATGATCGCAGGCGGGGCGTCCGCCTTCGTTCGAAGGAGAGAGACGGACGAGTACCGACTGTGATCATCAACGAGCACGAGAAGGTAGCGATGGCCCTGGCGAGTGGGAGAGGGATTAGGGCCCCAGAGGTCCATGTGAACAAGGTCAAGTGGCTGGGCAGCAGCGGAGGGGGAGCTCCGGTGCGGCTGCTGCTTGAGCTTGCTCTGAACACAGACGGCGCAAGGGGGGGCAGGGGATTTGGGTAGGGGAGGGAGGGAGGAGGGGAGACCGTGGAGGAGACCTGAGGAGACAGAGGAGCGCAGAGTAGCGAAGTTGGGGTGGCCTAGCCTGTGATGGAGAAGGATGGCAGGGTGAGAGAGGGAGCGACATGTGCAGGCAGAGTCAGGGGGGCGGGGGGGGACGGGTGGGTTAGTGGGAGGGAGGGGAGGAGGGGGGGGGAGGAGGGGAGGGGAGGCAACTTGGAAGGTGAGGGGGCGGGGAACCCGAAGGGTGTACAGACGGGAGCGGGGACAGTAGGGAATGCGAGAGAGGAAGCGACCTGTGGAGGTTTGGTAAAGGTCACAATGGTTAGCACCACCTGGGGTGACAGTGGTGATCATGGATTGTTGGAGGGACCTTTGGGAGAGGAGGTTGGTGCGAAGGGAGGGAATGTGAAGACCTGTGACAGTACCTGAGGGAAAGAGAGGACAGGGAAGGGTGGACGTGTTGTGACAGGGGATGGAAAAGCTGCTATCAGCGCCAAGGAGGGACGTGGGTGTGGGGAGAGGATGGAGTTTTCCGGCATCGCGAAAGACATTGTCAGTGGCTCCACTGTCCAAGACGAACTCAAGGGTGGAGGAGGGTGAGGCGGAGTACTGAATGGAAGTTTCATTAATAGCAGGGGCATACATAGGGGATGCAACGGAAGGAGGCTGACTAAGCAGACCAACAAAGCCAGAGGAGGGAAAGGGGGTCACACTGCCACCTGTAGACGGCGCAGGGGATGGACCGGAGAGGTGGGCCGCGGAGGCCACATTCCCGGCGGTCCAGCTGGGAAACGGCTGCTGCTGGGGGACAGGTGGAGGAGGGAGGAGAGGAAGCTGGGGCTGGAGGTCAAGCTGCTGCTGGAGCTGCTGAAGCTGCTGCTGGAGCTGATGAAGCTGCTGCCCGTACTGCTGCGGCCCCTGCTGCTGGACACTCTGGTGCTGCTGCTGCTGCTGCTGCTGGTGAGAGGGGAGAGCAAAGGCCTGGTGGGCCTGGGAGGAGGAGGAAGGGGCGTAGAGGGGAGAGGTGCGGACATCCAGGGGAGTGGGGCGGGGGTTGAGGGCGGACCAGCGAGGAGGGGTGCCAGAGTTCCCACGAGCGAACCACTCATCGCTGAGTGCCTTGAAGCACGTCTCAGTCGCATGAGTGGTTTGATTGCAGCGTTGGCCTCGGGTGGGGCCATAGAGGGGAAGATACTGACAGGGTGGGAAGGCCGCCGCTGCACCACGACCCGCACCACCACGACCGCCAGAGCCGCCTCGACCACCACCACGCCCACCTCCACGCCCCCCCCCACGCCCGCCTTTGCTGCTGCGCTGCTGTGCTGCTGCGGCAGTGGAGGAGGAGTGGCGCAGGATTTCAGCTTCAGTGGTGATGATCCATTGCGCAACTTGAGCGGGAGTGTCATGCTTGGAGAGGAGCTGCATGTATGCCAGCTTATGGGCATCGAAGGCAGGGGTGAGACCCTCGAGAAGGTGGCAGCAGATGACGGTGTCAGGGTAGACAACACCGAGCGCTGCAAGGCGGCGAGCGAGGTCAAGGACTCGGCGAGTAAAGGCAGCTGCGCCGGCGGTGGAATCCATGGTGATGGATCCGAATTCCTTAATGAGTGCATAGAGAGTGGCGATGTCCTGTCGGTCAAAGAGGTCGACTAACAGTTGCCACAGGTGGGAGGAGGAGGTGGGGGAGAGCTCTCGTTTGAGGGAGGAGGGGATGGTGGCGAGGAGGATAGCGAGGGCGCGACGATCAGCAACGCGCCACGCTGCGATATCAGTGGTGTAGGTGGTGAGGCGGGTAGTGTAAGTGGTGAACTGGGCTTGGTATTCACGGTGGAGGGCAGCAGCACTGTCGTAGATGCGCTTGTCATCGTCGTAGCGCAGTTGGCGGCGAAGGTGGTCGTTGAGTGAGGTGCGATAGGCACGAATGGCAGACTCCACGCTTTGTGGGTTGTGAACATCCGGCGCGAAGGAGGGGGGATCACCAGGAGGCTCGGGTTCGGGTCCGGGCTCATCGGGAGCAGGTCCAGTGGGGGCGGAAGGAGCAATGGGCTGGAGTCCACCCTCCTCCTGGAACACGACGGAGCGGAGGGTATATCCGCTGACGATGACCGAGGAGAGCAACACCTCGACGGAGTGAGCATAGGAGTGCCAGTTGGCGGCCGAGTTGTCGCCCAGCAGTTCGAGAGCGTCAATGGTCGCTAGATCGACCGATGAGTCCGACGACGCCATGACGGCGGAGTGGTGAAGGCGCCGCTGCTGATGCCACTGCTGCCGGTGCTGGTGCCGCTGCTGCTGCCGCTACCGGTGCCGCTGCTGCTGCCGCTGCTGCTGCCGCCGCCGATGCCGCTGCTGCTGCCGCCGCCGATGCTGCTGCTGCTGCCGGCGCCGATGCTGCTGCTGCTGCCGCCGCTGCTGCCGCTGCCGTTAAGGGTGGAGTAGGGGGAGGAGGTAGGGGGGGGGAAGAGAGGCTGGTGCGGAAGTGTGGGGAGGGGCGCGGGTGTGGGGCAGGATAGGGGGAGGAGGGAGGATTAGGGTTGCGGGGTCGTGGAGGTCGCGGGCAGCCGAACACGACGGCGCGCAGGTCAGCCGCGGCTCCGCGCCAGCCGTCCGCGTCGGCGCAGGGTCGTCGGCGGCCGCGCGCTGGCCGTCCGCGTCGGCGCGCGGGTCGTTCGGGGCCGCGCGCTGGCCGTCCGCGTCAGCGCGCGGCTCGTCGGCGGTCGCGCGCTGGCCGTCTGCGTCAGCGCGCGGCTCGGGCGGTTGCGCGCTGGCCGTCCGCGTCAGCGCGCGGGTCGTCGGCGGTCACGCGCTGGCCGTCCGCGTCAGCGCGCGGGTCGTCAGCGGTTGCGCGCTGGCCGGCTGCGTCGGCGCGCAGGTCGCTGGCGACAGCGCGCTGACCGTCCGCGTCGGCGCGCAGGTCGTCCGCGACGGCGCGTCGGTCGTCCGCGACGGCGGGCAGAGCCGCGGGAAGGAGGATTAGGGTCGCGGGAGGAAGGATTGAGGCCGCGGGAGGGAGGATTGAGGCCGCGGGAGGGAGGATTGAGGCCGCGGGAGGGAGGATTGAGGCCGCGGGAGGGAGGATTGAGGCCGTGGGAGGGAGAATTGAGGCCGCGGAGGAGTAGATCTGAGCCGCGGAAAGCTAGATCTGAGGTGCGGGAGGGCGGTACTGAGCCGCGGAAGGCTAGATCTGAGGTGCGGGAGGGCGGATGTATGTCATAATCCGCTAGGGTAGAGGAGCGGGGAGTAAAAAACAGTCTAAGGATCGAGAGAGGACGGCGTGAGCCATTTGGCTCTGGATACCATGATAGAATTCAAGAGTATGATTAGTAATGAGCCAACAAGGCTCTATAATACAAGCATGCAAGGAAGAGAAGGTTGTAGGAGGAGCTAACCCTATTGGCCAATAAGTTGGCCAATGGGTGAGGTGCCTTGTGGAGTAGGCAACCTCACAATGTGGCTAGGTTGGGATTGGTTGGTCTAAGGACCAAAAGTTGGCAAGTGCCAACCAAGGGCCAAGACCAAATCCAATCTTGACCAACCACAAAGTGTGGTTGGAGTGTACACCCAACCCCCCAAGAACCTAAAGGACTACACCTATTCTAGCCTATGAATGTTGTATATAGTGTACAATTACAACACATACCCTCAGCAACACCATACCTACGTCTTCTCTCCCTCATTTCTCCGTATCAACACCCCTACTGTCCGCATCCCACGATGCCCCCCCCTTCTCCCCACCCAGCAGGAAGGAGCAGTGCCGAGGGTGGCAGCAGTGGGAGGAGGCGGCGTGGCATTGAGATAGAAGGAGGGTGGGAGCAGACGCAGGGGTACATGGAAAGCATGGACAGTGGAGGAGGGGTGATGGGGACGGAGAAGGGGAAGGCAGGGGAGGTGTGATGGGATTGAGTGAGAGCGATGCAAAAGGTTGTGCTGGTGTTGGTGCAGCGAGTGGCAATGAAGCGACGGGGAATATGTCGGACGGAGAAGGAGCGGGTGAGTAAGGAGCGAGGGGATGTGGGAACGCAGGGGAAGAGCAAGCGAGGGAGGAAGCTGCAAGGGTGATCGAGGCGTTTCTTCTGAGGCCACTGTGTTACGAGGTGATGACTCACCACACTCGTGGTCGTGTTGTCTTCCATCACAGCCAGCATCCAAGTGACGCATTCATTTGCCAGCATCTGAATGCGAGCAACGGTTGAGGCTTGTGTGTTGCTTTGATTTGACGGCACCACTCAGGTCACACGTCCACAGGGCCCCACCCCACCCCACCCCATCCCACCCCACCCCACCCACCCCACCCCACCCCACCCCACCCGACCCCACACCACCCCACCCCACGCCACTCTGCATGCATGCTCCAAGCATCTCCCCGTGTCCCCCTCCCCTGCCACCATTCTTCACATTCCCGTTCGTTCCCATTGGTGCGTTGGTGAACCTGATTGGGTTGCCAGGGTGAGCGTTGAATGACTGCCAGCACTGTTGGCCGCCTGGGATAAACAGGAGTGCAGAGGGGAGAGGGGGTACGAGTGGAGAGAGAGTGCACGGGGAGAGAGGGGAGAAGACAGCAGGGGGAGGGGGAGGAGAACCAAGCAAAGGGAAGTGAGAGGAGAACCAAGCAAAGGGAAGTGAGAGGAGAACCAAGCAAAGGGAAGTGAGAGGAGAACCAAGCAAAGGGAAGTGAGAGGAGAAGGGGGAGGGAGGGAAGGTGTGTTGTGGAATGAGAAGCAGGTGATGATACAATGGTAGGCCAGGGAACTTTCTCAAACTGGTAGATGATTGCCACGTGGAGAGCATGTAAGGCCGCTGCGAGCGCTGCTCCCTCTGAGGGATCCGTGCCGCTCCCTGCCTCATCCAGAAGCACGAGAGTCAAGGAGGAAGAGGTGGGAGAGGCGGAAGGAGAGGAGAAGGACATACCCTCTGCACCACCATACCCTCTGCACCACCATACCCTCTGCACCACCAGACTACCCTCAGCACATCATGTCCGACCTCTCAACCTGAACTCCCCTCTCCCGCAACTCACAGTCTCTCAATCGCCCCTGCTCCCCTCTACCACCCGGCCCGTGGCTATTCAGATCGCCATGGGGCTATGACTTTTGAGACTGGGTCGAATGCGAGACTAGGACTCTCAAACCGAGAATCGGCCGCCTGAAGGAAGGAGGGAGGGGAAGAGGGGAGGTGAAGGGAAGAGGGGTGGTGTTAGTGTTAGGGTTGGTTCGCCCAACCACGGAACCTACGGCGAAAGCTTCTACGACGGCGGAATGACGGCGAAATGGAAGCACGTGGATGATTCTAGGTGAAACGGTGGATATCGGCCTACGGCGAAGAATAGAAGCGACGGCGTGAGAAGCGGGAGAGAAATCGAGAAGGAATGTGCAGGAAGAAGGAAGAAGCATGGAGAAGTAACGAGAATGAGATTGACGAGGGGAAAATGTGCTTCGAGACCAAGGCGCGTTCGAGAAGGTTCGAGATTCGGACTCAAGGAGTGTTCACCGAATTCGGTTCGGTTGCATGTGCGACTCGGGGTGAAACGAGGCGCACGCAGTTACTTGGGAAACAAGTGAAGTTACGAATCGCATTTTGTGTCTTGCCTGACTATAAACCTGTTTGTACTCATTCTGGAAAGACAACATTGGACAACATTGAAACCAATCAGATTCTGGAAATTTGCTGAAGTGTGTATTGACAACTTCAAGCAGAGCTGCGCATATCGTTGGATTTGGGAGATCGTGGAAAACACGATAAGCAATAGCAAGTAGACTATTGCCGACTAAGGTGTTTACGATCCTAAGAACTGGTATCAGAGCTTGGCGAACGGGCGCGTCGATCGCGGTGAATTCACTTGGTGCGCTAAGTGAAATTAGTGGAGAAGAGGAGTCGTTCACGCCTACGCCATGGGAGACGAGGCGAGTTCAGGTTCCAGTGTGAGTCTTGGAGACCCGCAGTTGAAGGCTCTTCTCGAGGCCCTTGCGAGTGGCCGATTGGTGGCGAAACCGACGATCGGGCTCAGTGAAGCCCAGCGCTTCAACGGGAGCAACTACAACGTGTGGCGGAAGAAGTTCATTCGAAGGGCAGAGGAGGTGGACCTCTTGCCATACTACCGTCCCGACGAGGAGACGATGGAGGGAGTTGCGCCTTCCACGACGGATACGAAGGAGAAAATAGCGGCGTTTAAAAAGCTAAGTAAGCAAGCGTTCTTTCAGCTTTGTCACTCAGTTGCCGATGGAATCGCGGTGGATTTGGACCAGTTTGCAGGGGAGCTGAACTCTGCACAGCGGGCGTGGGAGTACCTGGAGTCCACGTACATGGGTACGAACGATGTCAACAAGAAGGCGATTAGGAAGCAACTGCTGATGCTGAGCATGGAGAAAGGCGAGAAAATCATCACCTACATCAACAGGGCGAAAAGCTACAACGACGACTTGCGGGTGATGCGAGCCGTAGAGACAGAGCATGAGATGATTGACTATATCATCCAAGGCCTTCCTAAGGAGTGGGAATCCGACATCGGTATGTTTACGTACCAACCGCTGGAGAGTTTGACGAAGCTGCAGGAGATCCTGCAATCGCTTGAGACGGTGAAGGAGATGAGGAAAAAGAAAGCGGCAGTAACAGCTACGGAATTCGACGAGGAAAGGCCGGCTTTGGTGAATGCCACGAAGGCGTTTGGAGCGTGCTACCAGTGTGGAAAGAGGGGGCATAAGGCGATAAACTGCTACGAAAATCCGCGAAGCAGAAACTACAAGGGCAAAGCGGTGGAGAACGAGAAAGGAGAAAATGGGGGAGCAGAGTGGCAACAGAAACGAGGTTTTGGCGGCAAGTGTGATTATTGTGGGCGCTACGGACATCGTGCCGCAGAGTGCTACTCCAATCCGAACAGCAGGAGCTACAAGGGTCCGTCGCAGCAGAGGATTGTGGCGGGTAAGGCGAATGTAGCGGAAGCCGAAAAGGAGGATGTGATTTTGGGAGGAGCGCATCGTGCGAACGTGGTGCGTTTACCGAAGGATGTTCGTCAGACGGACGGACGTGAGAAGACGGCATGGTTCATGGACAGCGGATGCACGCGTCACATGACATTCAGGTCAGATTGGATGGAGAACGTGAGGGAGTCGAGTGAGCGTTATATACTGCAAGGTAACAGTGGGAAGTTACCAGTGACAGGAGAGGGTGACGTGGTGCTGCAAAGTCCGTATGGAGAGGTGAAGCTGGAGAATGTGCTCTTGGTTGAGGATTTGAAGGTGAATTTGATGAGTCAATCACAGCTTGATGACTTGGGGTGCAAGATATTTTATGACAAAGGCGAGGTTACAGTGTTTGGTCCTGAGTGGGAGAAGTATGCCGATGGATACTTCAGTGACGGGTTCTATGAGATGAACTTGATAGCGATGAACGACAAGGATGAGATCTATGAGGATCCTGAGTCTACTGAGGTTGATGAGAGCGAGGACACGGATGATACGGGAGCGAGTGTGGAGGCAGCAGTGAAGCAGGAAGAAGAGATAGTCACCATGGAGGCAGCAGCGGTGAATGATGGAGATGGAGATGGTGTCAACACTTTTGCAGCAGCGGTCGTGGTTAAAGATGAAGCAGTAAATGCGAAGTGTGTGGGAGTTGAAGCTGTGAAAGGGGGCATCATGGTGAAGGGATCAAAGGCGAATGCAACTGCAAAGGGGCGAGTGCTTACGAAAGAGGAACACGTTGAGGGGTATGAGACCCGAGAGGTGTTGCGTGTTGAGATGCCGAGGAGCAGCGAGAGGATCAAGAAAATCTCTCAAGGTTTGGATGTCAAGGCGCTCAACTTCAAGACACGTAAGCAGAGGCTCAAGGTGCAGGAGCTGCAGGGGAGCGTGAAGCCGACTTAGACCCTGTGAATGCTACAAGGAGCAGGAAAGCAGTGCGAGTGGTGTTCGTGGTTGACGAACCACAGGGGAGATTGTTAGGGTTGGTTCGCCCAACCACGGAACCTACGGCGAAAGCTTCTACGACGGCGGAATGACGGCGAAATGGAAGCACGTGGATGATTCTAGGTGAAACGGTGGATATCGGCCTACGGCGAAGAATAGAAGCGACGGCGTGAGAAGCAGGAGAGAAATCGAGAAGGAATGTGCAGGAAGAAGGAAGAAGCATGGAGAAGTATCGAGAATGAGATTGACGAGGGAAAAATGTGCTTCGAGACCAAGGCGCGTTCGAGAAGGTTCGAGATTCGGACTCAAGGAGTGTTCACCGAATTCGGTTCGGTTGCATGTGCGACTCGGGGTGAAACGAGGCGCACGCAGTTACTTGGGAAACAAGTGAAGTTACGAATCGCATTTTGTGTCTTGCCTGACTATAAACCTGTTTGTACTCATTCTGGAAAGACAACATTGGACAACATTGAAACCAATTAGATTCTGGAAATTGCTGAAGTGTGTATTGACAACTTCAAGCAGAGCTGCGCATATCGTTGGATTTGGGAGATCGTGGAGAACACGATAAGCAATAGCAAGTAGACTATTGCCGACTAAGGTGTTTACGATCCTAAGAGTTAGAAGGCTGGTGAGATGGAGGAGAGCACGTGGGAGGTCCGGGGAGACCTCACCTCTCCTCTCCCTCACTCCTCCTTATCAACACCCTTACTATCTGTGTCCCACCACGGTCTCCCGCTTCTCCCCACCCAGCAGCCAGGAGCGGTGCCGAGGGTGGCAGCAGTGGGAGGAGACGGCGTGGCATTGAGCTCACAGGAGGTGGGAGCAGACGCAAGGGTACATGGAAAGAAAGGACAGTGGAGGAGGGGAGTTGGGGGCGGGGAAGAGGGGGGGCAGGGGAGCTGTGATGGGATTGAGTGAGAGCGATGCAAGGGGTTGTGCTGGTGTTGGTACAGGGAGTGGCAGTGGGGCAGAGGGGAATATGTCAGACGGAGAAGGAGTGGGTGGGCAAGGGGCGAGGGAAGGGGGGAACGCAGGGGAAGAGCAAGCGAGGGAGGAAGCTGCACGGGTGACGGAAAGGTTTCTGAGACCGCCGTCTCCTGAGGCTGCATCGGATGCTGTCACGAGGTGCACTCTCACCATCACGAGGTGCACTCTCACCATCACGAGGTGCACTCTCACCACACACATGGTTGTGTTGTGTTCCATGAAAGCAGCATCCAAGCGCGAGCAACGGCTGAGGCTTGAGTGCTGCTGTGACGGCACCACTCAGGTCACACGTCCACTGGACCCCACCCCACTCTCCATGTATGCTCCAGGCTTTTCCCCTTGCGCCCATCCCCTGCCCGTTCGTTCCCATTGGTGCGTTGGTGAACCTGATTGGCTTGCTAGGGTGAGCGTTGAATGGCTGCCAGCACGGATGGCCGCCAGGGATAAGCAGCAGCAGACACCGCGCATGGCATGGTGTATGGGGTGGAAATGAAAAGGGATGCTGGAAGGGAAACAGCATGGCAGCATGGGAGGTGACAATGCAGCAAGGCGCATGGGGCAGTGGTGGCGTTGGTGATGCTGGCGATGATGCACATCGTGCACAGCCAGCCAGGGCGAATTGCAGCACACTGTGAGGAAGAAACCCCTGCATGCGCGAGGGCTTGCACGGCAGCTGACTTGACTCACAGCTGCCGTGCTGAGGCATGGCTGCTGCAACCCCACCCTGAGAGCAAGCAGCCCTGCAGCGGCGGCACCTTGAGCCCGGCTGCTGCACGCCACCTTGAGGGGAAGATTCCCTGCTGTGGCGCTACCTTGAGGAAGGAAGCAGCCGTGCATGCCCAGGGAGTGAGTGCTGCTCCCACTCGTGCTGCTCCTCCCACGCCGCCCGCCGCTGCTCCTCGCTCTGCCTGCCCACCCGCACGCGCACCTGGCACAGCTGATGGCGCGCGCATGGGGATGGGCAGCACGGCAGCAGGGGAGAAAAGCTACAAGCGTTTGTTTCATGCCCAGAAATTACAATCCCTACCATCAACTTACCATGCCACATGCATACTGCCCCTATCCCTTCTCCCTTCCCATTTCCCCTCGTGCTGCCTTCTCATCCCTCCCCTTGACTCTCCCCCTGCTGACCTGGGCAATGAATGCAGACCAAACTGGCTCCTCCTCAAACTCTGCAAACACGCCTTGCAGCCGCACCCGTGCCACGTCAGCACATGCCAGCTCAGCCTGAGCGGCGCGTCTAACGAGAGGGGGGTAAGGCGGAGTTCCCACGTCGGGAGGGCCATGTCTTGTTGGCTGGGAATCACCCCTCCGGGAAGGTATCAGATGAGGGCGAGTGGGAGGAGGGGTGGAAAGAAAGAGGGTTAGGGTTGAGGGAAGAGAGGTGGGATGAGAGAGATGGGAGGCGAGAGGGTAACTACGCAAGGGGAGACATGTCTGGCTTGGGTGGGAAGTGGGCTGGCTGAAAAATGAGGAAGGTGAGGAGGAGGGAAGAGAGGAGATGAAATCTCAGCCACGGGGTCACGTGTCCGGCTTGGGTTGGGAAGTGGCCTGCCTGAGGGGAGAACTGGGGATATGCGCAGAACAAAGGCCAGCATTGTGGCCAATGAGGAGTGGACAAGTGTAGCCTGGCGGCTGGTTAGGGATTCGGAAGGGGGTCCGGAAATGCGACTCCGCCTGCACGATCCGATCCTGCAGCCATCCCGCAAGCTCGGCGCGCAGCGACTCGGGGTTTGAGCTTACGATGGAATTACCGTTACGGTCGGTCGAAGCGACAAGCGAGTGCTTCATGATCGTACCAGGACGGTTACGATGGCGGTAACGAAGCTTGTTGGGAGTTGACGCAGTTTGCGAACTGAATCGTTCGGGCATGGGCCTGACATGGCGAGAGAATGTAATTGTACGAAATACATCATCTCCCCTCAGACATTGCATGAACGAAAATAAGTTCCCTCTACAGGAGGTGAGGACTAGTACAGGGACGGAGACGAGGTGACTTTTGAGTCGACTCAAAAGTCACCTCGTTACAATGGCACACGACACTTTTTCATCAAGGAGAGCACTTATAGCTTGGAGACTTCCTAAGAGAGTTGGGAATTTTTTGATTTCTGCTAAGAAATGCTAGGTACAGTAGCTTTTTACTGTTAGCCTTTTATCGCATTTGCTTGTACATGTCTCCTTGTCCCCCGCGAGAATTCTCCCGCGTGTTGGGTTTTGTGTGACATTTCCTAGGCCTATAAAGTAGTGCCTGATCCGTAGATTGCTTGTGGTCTGAAGAAGGCGTTTCCACGCCGAAACCGGTTACCATCACAATTTCTCACAAGCGTTCTCTCTACGCAAACACAATCACCTACCTAGGTGTCTCAAATCAACACATTGCTGCCACGTATTGACCCATGGCCTCTAAGTGGGGCTCGATTGGACTCAAACTTGATACAACTACGATGGCCAATTACAGATTCGTTGCTAACGCAACAGACACCAACACAAACAAAGACATCACCAAGGATATTCCTACTCGACAATCCGCGCGACTCTCGAGGAAACGAAGCCCGGGAAAAAGTCGTAAGGATAAAGATGAAGTTGGCTTTGAAGCCATATTACAGTCTCCAGTCTCTCGACTGAGCAAGAGGAAAGCCTGTGAATTTCCACCTGCTCTTCCGTCAGAAGCTGCTCCAGCACCAGCCGTTCAGCGATCCTCCGATTCAGCAACAATGGCTGCTCCGCTGCAAGAAGCTGTTCATGAGATTCATGACACCGTCATGCTGGATTCCTTTGATTTCCTTGGTGACATTAACAATACTTTTCTTGACAAGCAGGCTACTCCGTCCTGTTTGAACGATTTTAAGATTCAAGCGATCAAGGACTTTAAGAAGAATTTTCTTAAGTACCGGACCCTGCAGCTGCAATACAACTTCATGGAAGAGCAGAAGGCTAACGGCATCATTCCGCACAGTATCCGGATCAAGCCGTTCGGTTTTATCTGCACTTCTGAGGAACTTCGCCAGGAAGCTGATAAGGATCTCCAGGCGGCGTGCTCGACTTACTGCAAAGAAGCACAGGGTATTCTGATCGCGATGAAGAAGAAAGCAGCAGAGCAAGCTCGCAACGACACTGCTGCAATCTTCCAACGACTCCAGGACCAGATCACGAATTACATCAATCTGGCCAAGAAGACGGACATCGGAGCCAAAAACTCCAAGCTCACCGACAACTTGAACTATTTCAAGAATCGTGTCATTTCCGAATTCAAGGATGCGATGTCTGTTTTTGTCATGGAAGCTAACCTCTCTGAAATTCATTTGAAGGAGAAGAAGAAGGAGATCGACGAGAAAAAGGCAGCTGCGGTAGAAGAAGCTGATAACCTCCCGGTGGATCCTACCGTGCGTGAGATCGCCAAGCAGGAGGTTGAGAAGGCAGTCGCGAAGCTCAAGCCGATCAACAAGTCTACTCCTAACCGCTCTGTTAACAACGGCAAGAGGAAAGCAACGGCTGGCAAGAAGAAGGTCTTCCCGGTTAAGAACAACCGGAACGCTACCGTCGCAGCAGCCAAGAAGCCGAAGAAGGTGCAGTCGCAGCCTTACAACGGCAAGCAGCAGCGTACGACAGGTCCCGGAAAGAAGGATGACAACACCACTCACCGTGCGAACAAGACGATGGGTCGCTCCTTCTCCAAGACGGCCGGGCGCAGTGCTACTCACCCTAAGAACCGTAACGCAACGGCAAAAAACGGGGGAGGTGCCGTCCGCGGAAGAACGAATTGTTAGAATTTATATGTAACTGCCTGTAGCTGTAGTTTAGTGTAGTTATTATAAACTGTTGGTGGTGCACCTTCTTTGCATGCTCTGTTTACTATATGTACCCTAGTGCTATAGTGAACATCACTTTTCCCATTCTCGACTCTCACCTTGGCACAACCTCCTCGACTTCCCCTAGGCCTAGGCTACTAAGCCTAGGCCCTACCTAAAACCTAAGCTTACTCTTACTTAGTAACTCAACATGGCATTAGAGCGAGTTACGTCCTGGCCTGTGGGCCCGCCTCACGCTTCCGCTGCTGTTTTTCCGGTCGCGCGCCTCGGGCGCGTGGCGATTTTCGTCCTGTCCCGCCCCCGGGTGGCGAGTGACATCTTTTCTGCCCGTCGCGCGCCCCGTGGCACGCGACGGTGCCCTGCCCGCCGTGCGCCCCGTGGCATGCGACGGTGCCCTGCCCGTCGTGCGCCCCGTGGCACACGACGGTGCCCTAAACCTGCCCGTCGTGCGCCCCGTGGCACGCGACGGTGCCCTGCCCGTCATGCGCCCCGTGGCACGCGACGGTGCCCTGCCCGTCGTGCGCCCCGTGGCATGCGACGGTGCCCTAAACTGCCCGTCACGTGCCCCGTGGTGCGCGACGGTGCCCTGAGCCGCCGCGGAACCGCCCCTGGCGCCTGCGACGGTGTCCTGAGCCGCCGCGTACCCGCCCCTGGCGCACTCGGCGGTGCCCCTGCCTCACCCGCGCCTGCACTCGCTGCAGCCGCCCCTGCACCACCCGGCGCCTGCCCTTGGAGCAGCCGCCCCCGCTCCTGCACTCGGTGCAGCCGCCTCTGCCTCACCCCGCGCCTGCACTCACTGCAGCCGCCCCTGACCTACCCGCGCCGACCCTCTGTAGCCGCTCTGCGGCTTTCTCCCCGCCCACCCCCTCCTCCTTCGTCTCCCTGCAGCCGTGGGGGGGAGGGTATGGGGGTGGCGGGTGTTGGGGTGATGGGTGGTGTGCTTCCCTTCCCCTCCTCCTCCTTTCGTTCCCACTGCTGCAGCTGCCGCTGGGGGGGAGGGTGTGAGGGTGTGGGGGAGCCGGGGGAGTGGCACTGGGGTGGCGGGTGTGAGACCAACCAGCAGCCGTCCCTCCACCTCTCCTCTCTTCCCCCCTCTGCTGCTCCTGCAGCAGTGTGGGGGGGAGGGGGAGGGGGAGGGTGAGGAAATGGAGGGGGTGACCAGCCAGAGCCAGCCCGCCTCCTCACTCTCCCTGCTGCCCCTCCTGTGGTTGGGGGGGGAAGAGAGTAAGGGGGTGGCAGGAATTTCTTGCTGTCGCCTGTCCCTTTGCTGCTGTACCTGCTCTGTTACCGTACCTGCTGTTGCTGTTGCTGGTATACCCCTGCAGGTTGTGTTCTGCACAAACTCCTGCTGCAGGCAGTTATGGGGGAGTGTTAGAATTTATATGTAACTGCCTGTAGCTGTAGTTTAGTGTAGTTATTATAAACTGTTGGTGGTGCACCTTCTTTGCATGCTCTGTTTACTATATGTACCCTAGTGCTATAGTGAACATCACTTTTCCCATTCTCGACTCTCACCTTGGCACAACCTCCTCGACTTCCCCTAGGCCTAGGCTACTAAGCCTAGGCCCTACCTAAAACCTAAGCTTACTCTTACTTAGTAACTCAACACGAATCGACAGTAGCGGTGGATGTTCACTCCTACGCACTTATTCTTTTCGGTCGACAAACCGAGAACCAGCTGCGTAGCAGAGTGACTAACCGCGGCATTCACAACTTCAGTGATCATGTCTTCACCCGCGACGAACTTAACCTGCTGAGCTTGGGTCTTAAATTCATCCCCATCCCGTCCATCCGTAGCATTGCTAGTTTAGAAGCTGAGCTGTCGTCTTTCTGTAGAAGCGTGAGACGATGTATCTCTGTGGTGGAATTGATTTCGTTTCTGATTACCCAGGCTATAAGCTCCCAAGGAGAGCTAACTGGAATCCGCCATTGGCCTCCTCCGAGATTGAAACGGCCCTCGCGGTCTTTAAGGACTCGGTGATTAAGGACATCAATGGTCAAACGATACGATCCCGCCTCCGAAAGAATGTCACTCCTACGCTTCAACGGCTCGCTAAACATCCAAATCTAATCTTCAAACCTGCAGATAAAAATCTCGGCCTTACGGTTATGAGCAAGGACTACTACCAAGAAAAGTGTTTTCAACACCTTCTTAATACGAAAGTCTACAAAGAGTACTCTACCGTTCCGCTCGACGACATTCTGCAAGGCTTACATTCCATTCATTCCGACTATCAGCCTCTTTTATCTAAGAGGGTCTGGAACTCTTTCTTCACTGAACCAAATGGCGGATGGAAAATTCCCGCTTTTTACGTCTTGCTGAAGATTCATAAAAAGGTTCCGGCCGGTCGACCTATTGCAGCTTGCCATTCGTGGATTACCTCCAATGTTTCCCGATGGCTTGATACTATTCTACGACCGCTGGTCATTCAACAGTCAACTTACATCAAGGACTCTCAGAGTCTTATTTTACTGCTGGAACAACGGCGCTACTCTAAGAATCTACTTTTCGCCTCCTATGACGTGGAATCTTTATACCCGTCTATTCCTTTATTGGATGGCATTGACGCTGTTTCATACTTTCTCCAGAAGGCAAGACACCCTTTAGCTCCTCTCGTCACTCGGCTATTACGTTGGGTGATGTTCAACAGCTACGTCTCCTTCAACGGCAGATTTTTCCGCCAGATTCATGGCACAGCTATGGGAACCTTAGTCGCTGTCTGCTTCGCGGTTCTTTTCATGAGCTTCTTGGATATTCAACTCCACTCTCTCCTCCCTTCACCTCCTGCTCTGCACCTTCGTTTCATCGACGACGGTTTGATTTTGTGGGAAGGAACGCGGGAAGATTTTCAACGGTTGAAAGCGCGGTTTGACACGCTTCATCCTTCTATTCGTCTGACTTGGGTCGTTTCTGAAATTTCCATTGACTTTTTGGATGTTACCTTCTTCAAGGGGGAACGCTTCAACAGCTCTGGAATTCTGGACCTGAAGCTCTTTCAGAAACCGATGAATCGGTATTTGTATTTACCCTTCAAGTCATATCATACCCGTACTACGAAGATGGGCTTCATCCGCAGCGAGTTACATCGTTTCCTGCTTCGCTCATCATCCCGCTCTGATTTCTTTAACTCCCGGGCCCTTTTCTTTGCTCGACTTCGAGCACGAGGGTATCCAGAGAAGTTTCTTTTACCAATTTTCAAATCGGTCACCTTCGCCTCTCGGTCAGTCCTCCTCGCTCGTGCTTCTTCACTTCGTGATTCTCCTAAACGTGGCCCCCTTGTGCTGAAATGTTTACTCAACCCATTGGTTGACCATTCGCACCTGGGGAAACTTTTGAGTCGACTCAAAAGTCACCTCGTTACAATGGCACACGGCACTTTTTCATCAAGGAGAGCACTTATAGCTTGGAGACTTCCTAAGAGAGTTGGGAATTTTTTGATTTCTGCTAAGAAATGCTAGGTACAGTAGCTTTTTACTGTTAGCCTTTTATCGCATTTGCTTGTACATGTCTCCTTGTCCCCCGCGAGGATTCTCCCGCGTGTTGGGTTTTGTGTGACATTTCCTAGGCCTATAAAGTAGTGCCTGATCCGTAGATTGCTTGTGGTCTGAAGAAGGCGTTTCCACGCCGAAACCGGTTACCATCACAATTTCTCACAAGCGTTCTCTCTACGCAAACACAATCACCTACCTAGGTGTCTCAAATCAACACATTGCTGCCACGTATTGACCCATGGCCTCTAAGTGGGGCTCGATGGGACGGAGACGCCATGAATTCTTTCCTGATGAGGGATGTCACTTTGGATAGGCTGCTGCAACGAGTGTGATCGGGCATGCTTGCGATGTCGGGTTTACGAAAACTGGTAACGAATTTCCTGTATCGAGTTCTACGTGTGTGCGGCGCACCAAGCTTGTTTCAAAGAGCACCGCGAAAGTTGGGCGAAGAGCTGGCGAAAGGTGATGGCATTGCGAATTGTGTCGAAATGACCCTCACCACCATTTTCAATGCTCGCCACGATCCATGTTACTCGAGACAAATCTGACACCAATTTGTCAGAGGCCCGTCACTCGCAATACACGGACCACAGCATGAGCAGAACGGTAACCGTGTTTGAACTGAACGGCACCGCATGAGTAGCAGAGCCCTCGCGCGAGGCTCCCGCGGAACATTCACAGTTCAAAATGAAAAATGTCTTCGGTAACAGACATTAAAAGGTGAAAACAAGCTGTCTATAAACGGTGCATCACGGTACATTTGTACGTTCATGCCGAACAGCGTTCGACCTGACATGTCTCCAGTCAGATCCGCAATGCATATTTGTACCCCGCGCCACGCGCCTCCACTCACCAACGTACACTTTTGATTTTGCTGAGTTGCCGTCTCACCAGATATTCCTGATAATCGTTAGAATACGCGGCACGTAGGTCGGCAGCAGAATGACGGAAGTAACCCAAGTCGAGCTTTCCTCTAATGCGGTAGAAGTTCGAACAGTTCCGCTTGGCCCAGGCAGCGTTCAAAAGGGACGGTCCCGCCATGAGTTTGTCGTAACTAAATAATTTCCTTTTTTCAACCAACCAAGGGTAACGATGGTGGCTGCGCGTTTCCTTTCGACTACATTGGCACTGGTAGTACTAGTAGTGCTGGTGGCACTCCATATGAGAGCCACGTCAGCATTTAACTTCTCAAGCACCGAGGCCGGAAAAGTGCAGTGGTCGCTCAACTGCGACTGGAAGGGCAACGACATTGGCCAGGCCGCCGGCAAGGGCGACACGTGCGGAAAGCAGTGCCTCAGCCGTGCGGACTGCTCGCACTTCACGTGGACGGCCGAAAACGGAGGCACGTGCTTGCTCAAAGGGGCGATCAACGCGACTGAGCTGGTCGCCGCCACTGGCACTTCGTGCGGTTACCGCGTTACCGACAACGGCGTGACCGGCAACCCGTACAGGGGAGTCCAGCAGTACCTCAACCGCGGGTATGCGGAGAACGTGAAATCCGCGATGCTTGCGTCTCCCGAAGATGCGCCATATTTCGCGAGCGTGGCGCAGTATCCGACGGCCGTGTGGCTTGACAATATGGCGAAGCTCGCAACCATCCAAGGCCACCTGGACGACGCAGCGGCTCAGGCGGCCGGGAAGGCGATTCTCGTGCAATTCGTGATCTACAACCTCCCGGGCCGCGATTGCAAGGCGTGGTCGTCCAATGGGGAGATTCCCAAGGGCGGCCTCGACACGTACAAGGCCAAGTACATCGACGTCGCCTTGTCGCGCCTCAGAAAGAAGGCGGCGAACGTGCGTCTGTCGCTCGTGATCGAGCCCGACTCGCTGCCCAACATCGCGACGAACATGGGGATGAATCGGTGCGACGCGACGACGGAGAAGGAGTGCACGGAGGGCGTCGCGTACGCCATCGCGACGCTCTCGCAGATCCCCGACACCACGCTGTATCTCGACTCGGGGTCCGGCGCTTGGCTCGGTGAGTGCATGTGCGGCGCGCGGTTCGTTCCGTTCCATGCCAATCTGTTCCTTCTTATCCTTCCTCCCCCTTCAGCCGTAGCCCTGCTTCCACCGTTTTGCTTCGCACTCCCCTTCACCCCACCCTCAACCCTAATTCGCTCGCCTCCCAACGCGTGAACAGGCTGGCCGGATAATATGAAGCGCGTCGTGACGGTTTACAAGAAAGTCCTCGCGCGCGCGCGGCAGATGAGCGCGAACGCCAAGATCCGCGGCTTCGCGTCCAACGTGGCCAACTACAGCCCGCTCTTTTCCTACCGCTGCCCGGCGTCGGAGAAATGCCCACTCGCGAAGAACCCGAGCACGGGCGAAATGAACTACGACTGGAACCCGTGTATTGACGAGAACCGCTTCACTACACGAATGAATGCGTACCTGGGAGCCGCGGGATTGCCGACCAGGTGGATTGTGGACACCAGCCGGTCCGGCCGCGCTGGCATTCGAAAGCGGTGGGGGTCGTGGTGCAACGTGAAGGGCGCGGGGATCGGGCAGCGCCCCCGCGCGAATCCCGGTAGTGCTCTGCAAGGTGAGCGCTTCACATGACGCGCATTCTTGCTTCTTCTTGCCGTTGCTTTTCTTTTCTTCTGTTTTTTCTTCTTTCTGACGATTTTGTTATGAAAACGACGTTTCATCCAGGGTCTCATGCCGCCGTTCTTTTCCCACACACCTTGCTTGCCCGACAGTTGATGCTTTCGTTTGGATCAAGCCGCCTGGGGAGAGCGATGGCCATTCGTAAGTGAATATTACAGGCTATGCTTCCTTACATCGTCACTCATCTCATCTCTCTTTTCTGCCAGTGGGATACTAATCAGAACAAACAGCTGGCTATGCTTCTCTTTACACCTTCAATCTCTTCCTTCCTCCCCCCGATGCATCCGATCCAGGAAAAAAAATGGCAATTCCCCCGTGGATCGCGAATGCGACCCCCTGGACCAGCTGGGCGCGGAAGCCCTAGCTGACGCGCCCCGCGCTGGCCAATGGTTCCAGGCGGAATTCGCGATGCTGGTTCGCAACGCCAACCCTCCCATGCCTGCTGCAACCATGGACCTGAGCGGGAAATGATCATTTCCCTAGTCGGCGACTAGAAGAAGGATGAGCAACCGAGGGCCAAACGATTCTGACCCGTATGGTGTAGGCCGGGAGCTGCCGAGGCGGTAACGAAGCTTGTTGGGAGGCAGTTTTCGAACCAAATCGTTAGGCGGCCTGACATGGCCAGACAATGTAGTTGTTCGACTATCAGACATTGCATAAACGAGAATAAATTTCTCTAGAGTGGGTGAGGACTCCTGCAAGGGACGAAGGACGCCAGGAATTGTTTCCTCGTGAAGATGGACGCTCATTTTGGCAACATCGCACACGGTTTGCGAAGACTGGCGACGGGTTTCGTGTATCGAATTGCACGTGTGCGGCGCACAAAGCTTGTTTTAAACAGCACCACGAAAGCTTGGCGAACATCTAACGAAATCTAAGGTACTGCGAATTGTCTCGAAAAAACCCTCTCCACCATTTTCCATGCTCGCCACCGTCCATGTTACTCGAGACGAATGTGACACCAACATGTCAATGTCAGAGGGCTGTCATCAGTCGCGATACACCGACCACGGTATTATTTTACTGTACACATGATGCCCAACCCGTGCACGCAAATTTGCCCTGCACCGGATGGAAACCCTGCACCCGAGGTTTTTTTCCCAGCCAGTTGCACGCTCTTTACAAGCACGTCGCGCAAGTTGCAGTTGTTATGAACCAGTAGTAACGAACAGACCGATTCCATGCTGAAGAGACTGATGAGACTGAAGAGACTGATAGGTTACAAACATTTTTATAAGCACCTGACGAATCCTTTTTTGCTAGCTGCAAATTGACGAAACTTATGCGAAATGTCTGTTACAGCTTATAAGCCCCCTTTACAAGGCAACCGGGAGTGGCTCAAGCGGGCATCATGTGTACCGTGTTTGAACTGACCGACACTGCATGAGCAGCAGAGCCCTGGGGGCACGCTCGTGAAACATTCTCGGTTCAAGATTACGAGAAATGACTTCGGTAACAAGCGTTGAAAATATTTCAGAACGTTTATCAACGGTTTATCACGGTATACATGGAAGTTCAAGTCTTGAACAGCGTGGACTTGAGATGTCTGCCACCCTGACGGGATCTGCTCTGCAGACTTGTTCACATTTCGCGCCACGCGCCACGACGCACCAACGTGCACCATTGAATTGCGCTGTGTTGGCCATCTCTCAAGACTCTCCTGAAACAACGGGTCCTCTCCGACCGTCTTGTTCCTAGGAATATTGGTCTCACCACGACAAGTTGTGATGTCACCAATAGTCGAAAATATACGTGCCTCGGAAAGTAGGTCGACATCAGTTCGACGTGACCCCAAGTTGAGCTTGCCTCCAGTGCAGTAGTAGTTCTCTCGTTTATTGCAAAAATTAATCCTTCCCATCCACCGTCACTTTCCAACAATATTCTTATCACTGTGGTGTGACCACAATAGTCAGAAAACACCCCTCGGACCGCACAGCAGAATAACGGGCGCAACTCAATCTGATCTTGCCTCCTATACGATTCAAACAGCAGTTCCGCTTGGTCCGAGCAGCGTTCAATAGGGACGGTCCCGCCATGAGTTTGCCGTAACTAAATGATTTCTTTCAACCAACAAAACCTTACGATGGTGGCTGCACGTTTCCTTTCGACTACATTGGCACTGGTAGTGCTGGTGGCGCTCCATATGAGAGCCACGTCAGCGCTCAACTTCTTAAGCACGGAGGCCGGAAAAGTGCAGTTGTCGCTCAACTGCGACTGGATCGGCAACGACATTGGCCAAGCCGCCGGCAAGAGCGAGACGTGCGGGAAGCTGTGCCTCAGCCGCGCGGATTGCACGCACTTCACGTGGACGGCCGAAAACGGCGGCACTTGCCGGCTCAAGGGGGCACTCAACGCGACGGAACTGGTCCCCGCCACTGGCACGTCGTGCGGTTACCGCGTCCGCGACAACGGCGCGATCGGCAACCCGTACAGGGGAGTCCAGCAGTACCTCAACCCGGGATACGCGGCGAGCGTGAAAGCCGCGATGCTTGCGTCTCCCAAAGATGCGTCGGTTTTCGCGAGCGTGGCGCAGTATCCGACGGCCGTGTGGCTTGACAATATGGCGAAGCTAAACACCATCCAAGGCCACCTGGACGACGCAGCGACTCAGGCCGGGGGAAAGCCGATTCTCGTGCAATTCGTGATCTACGACCTCCCGGGCCGCGACTGCCATGCGTATTCGTCCAATGGGGAGATTCCGAAGGGCGGCCTCGACACGTACAAGACCAAGTACATCGATGTAGCCGCGGCGCGCCTTGCAAAGAAGGCTGCAAACGTGCGCCTATCGCTCGTGATCGAGCCCGACTCGCTGCCCAACCTCGCGACGAACTTGGGGTCGGCTGGGTGCGACGCGACGACGGAGAAGGAATACATGGAGGGCGTCGCGTACGCCATCGCGAAGCTCTCGCAGATTCCTGGCACCTCGTTGTATCTCGACTCGGGGGGCGGCGGGTGGCTCGGTGAGTGCGTATGCCGCGCGCGGTTCGTTCCGTCCCATGCCAATCTGTTTCCTTCCTATCCTTCCTCCCCCTTCAGCCGTAGCCCTGTTTCCACCGTTTCGCTTCGCACTCCCCCTCACCCCACCCCACCCCTCAACCCTTACCTGCTCGCCTCTCAACGCGTGAACAGGCTGGCCGAATAATATGAAGGCCGTCGTGACGGTGTACAAGAAAGTCGTCGTGCGTGCGCAGAAGATTCGCGCAGGCGCCAAGATCCGCGGCTTCGCGTCCAACGTGGCCAACTACAGCCCGCTCTTTTCCTACCGCTGCCCGGCGGCGGAGAGATGCCCGCTCGCGAAGCACCCAGGCACGGGCGAAATGATCTACGACTGGAACCCGTGTATCGACGAGAACCGGTTCACTGCACGAATGAATGCGTACCTGGGAGCCTTGGGATTGCCGACCAGGTGGATCGTGGACACCAGCCGGTCCGGCCGCGCTGGCATTCGGAAGCGCTGGGGGTCGTGGTGCAACGTGAAGGGCGCGGGGATTGGACAGCGCCCCCGCGCGAATCCCGGTAGTTCTCCGCAAAGTGAGCACTTCACATCACGCGCGTCCGTGCTTCTTCTTGCTGTTGCTTCTTTTTTCTTCTCGTTTTGTTTTTTGTTTTTGTTTTTTTCCTTTTGGCGATTCTGTTTTGAAAACTTCGTTTCCCCCAGTGGTCTCATGCCGCCGCTCCTTTCTCACACCACCTTGCTTGCCCGACAGTCGATGCTATAGCTTGGATCAAGCCGCCTGGGGAGAGCGATGGCCACTCGTAAGTAAATATGCAGGACAAACAGTTCGTTTTAATTCATTCTTTATTCTGCAGGATCTTCCTAATTGTTCCTAAACATGCGGAGTGCCAGTTACCTAATGCAGTGTCTTTCTTCTTCTCGTCCAGTGAGTTAATCATTAAATCATACGCTGGGCTATGCTTCCTTGCACCTTCACTCATCTCATCTCTCTTTTCTGCCAGTGGGACATCTATCAGAACAAACAGTTGGCACCTTCACACCTTCACTCATCTCTCTTCCATCCTCCCCCCGATGCATCCGATCCAGGAAAAAACTTGGCGTTTCCCCCGTGGATCGCGAATGCGACCCCCTGGACCAGCTGGGCGCGGAAGCCCTAGCTAACGCGCCCCGCGCTGGCAAATGGTTCCAGGCCGAATTCGCCATGCTGGTTCGCAACGCCAGCCCGCCCATACCTGCTGCAACCATGCAATGATCAAGAAGGGGCTGAAGACTAGAAGGACGAGCAACCAGGGGCCAAGCGACTCGGACCCCTATGGTGTAGACCCGGAGCTGCTGAGGCGGTAACGTAAGGAGTTAATAACATACAGTCATTCTCTTTTTCACTTCTGTTTCTTTGGTCATAAATGGTTCGTGTGGCACCTCTCCTAGCTGCTCTGCTGGCCCATAGAAGCTTTGACACTGACCTTGAATGGCCATGATTTTGCTAGGTAGTCCCTGAGCAATCCGCGTACTGGCCATGCGCCTCATGCGGGTCCTCCCACGGGTATACCCATCTCAGCTCCAGGGAATGCTCACTTGCATGCTGTATCTCTCTTCTCTCCTCTAGCTCCCCCAGCATGGCTCTTGCCTGGGCTTCCTTCAACGCCGCTCGCTCTGTCTGGGGCCTCACAGAAGCTGCCTTGTCTCGCTTCCGCTCCCACCTAGCCCTTGAGTGATACATCCAGAGCGTCGCCACCAGCCAGTGCATGGCGTTGAGACCCAAGTGTCCTTGCTTACTCCAGCTACTTCTCTTACGTCAGGTGAGGGGTATTTGGTGTTGAGTGACCCCTGGACTGTAGTATACATGTTTGGTTTGGCCTATTTATGTTGTGAACAGGAGTACGGTAAGTTTCAATCATCATGCCACACCACAAACACAACTCAAAATGTACAAACACTTTCCACTGTGAACATGCGAATGTGGACGCCTAACATCCTCTGGATAGTCTCAACAATCTGGCACAAGGTGGCAACGAGTAGATTCGATGCGGCACGGTTTGAGGCTCGGACGAATTCTCGTGCATACCCTCAGCTGCGCATGCTGACGCCACTCTTGGTCGGGGCGAACAATGAGCTGTCGTTCATCTGCTGCAATACAACCCCCACTAACAAAGATAGGCTATGGCTTGTGACGATACTCATGGATGCTTGTGA